GAATTTATATCTTTTTTTTTTTTTTTTTTCTTTTTTCATTGCCTAGCCATTGGAATACTTTGAAATCTAAATCTGCTGAAAATGAGATACATTTCCCTGTTATGAGACTAAGTGATCATGCCGAGCAGATACAATATCAACAACTTAAAAAGGACATAATGAAATACGAAGTGCTTTGCTTCACTAATCTCAAAATGAATCACAAAAGCCGGTCTATTTAACCTTTAACTGCTGTGAGCAGTCTGAGAGACCGCTGAGGATTTTCTAACCGTCGTTTCCACCCCTAAAAACGGAGAATGGTCACTGTCCTTCCTCCTACCTTTCCAAATCCATCCCATAAGGTCACACATCCAGTTTCATACTTCTAACTTTATTATGGTTTCAGTTATCACGTTTTTTTTTTTTAATTTTTAAGGTATCTGAGAGACCGCTCACAGCAGATGTGTACCAGTTTCAGTGGACAATAGACAATGTTTATTGGATGCTTGGTTTTCGTAAAAGTGATAAATATGGCTTCAAATTTCACAAGAAAACATCCCGTATATCTCACTCAAAAAGAAATTGAATACCTTGTCAACAATATTTATGATGTAGAATACTCTGATTCTGAAGAATGATGCAATATTCACAGCGAAAGCAAAAGTTTCTGCAGATAAATATCATAATTTTTCTAATGACTGTGAACAAAATGATAATTTTTAGGGAAAAAAGCACTTCAAATGGAACAAAAAAGAACCAAGTCGGGCGGTACAAACACCAAAACATAACATAATGGTTCAGCTCCCTGGTTTGAAACATCCTGCAAAAATAGGCTCTAGAGCAGAGCCCGAAGATACTTGGAATTTATGTTCATACATATTGTTCCAGTCATATACTGATGCTACAAAACTGAAAAAAAAAAAAAAAAAAAAAAAAAAAAAAAAAAAAAAAAAAAAAAGTAAATTTCATGCTTTTATTAGCTAATTAACTTATTAAACCGCATCTGAAAGTTGGAATAACTTCTGCTTTTTTATTAAGGGAACTGAACATAAGAATTAGAAGAATCCTTGAACAGAAGGAAACTAAGATAATGGATTTATCAAATCAAGAAGAAATATTAGAAGAAAGAAAAACATGTAGTCTGTGCCCACCTTGTAAGAAGAGAAAAACAGCATGCAAATGTTTGGAATGTAAGGAACCAGCGTGTCTTCAGTGCTCTAAAAAAATGTGTTTTGACTGTATATCATCTTATGATTTATCCTTGTAAACAAAGATATACTAATTTATTATTTATTATTAATTAAATTCAATGTTGTAGAATTATGGTTTAATTGACAGTAATACTTAATAAAGTCATGGATTTTCATGCATGATTAATAAAATCTTTGTTCTTTAAAAACTTTATTCCTTAACCCTTTGTGGTGCACTATACTTTAAAGTCGGAATTTCAACAAAAAAAAGTTGTATGCAGTCTATCTAGGCCTAAAGGAGTATACAGGTAAAATTTTGTATAAATTGCACTTACTGTTTTAATTCTGTGGGTGTTCCATGAGGTGGAATACTGCGCCGCCAGAGATTTTAAAAGTGTGACTAAGCGAACATTTTAGTGTAGCACGGAAATGAGTAGCAGCATTTTTATAGTAATGAAAAAACAATGTATTATGGCTGCTTACACGGTTTTCTGGATATACACAACATTTTTGAATAAATATGGATAAATGAGATTAATATATGTATATACACAAGTCTTATATACAAAGATATTTACAAATTTTTCAATTTCTTAGCTTTGTGAAATTGTTCAAAGCATGTCACACCTTTTTGATAGAAGCACAAACCAACTTTGCAGGTTTTGAACACAAAACCTGTTTTGTACGGCCTTTTGTTCCATGCAACAATATGTTTAGAATTCCAAGTAAAAACTTGAGGTTGCATAGAGGGGCCTGGGTAAGATGGATCATCAACCTTCTCATCAAACAAATGAGTTTCTTCCGACATATCACAATAGGATTACACAAGTGGTTCAAGAGCATATATCTCAGTATCGCTGCTGTCTTCATGCTCTGATTCAGGATAAGAGGTTAATTCATGAAGCACTAAGCGCTTCGGAAAGAGTTAGACCTCTCCATGCCATTTATGGCAAATTAATAATAAAAAATTAACTACAATTAAAACTAACAGTAAAGAAAAATAAGCTATAAGATATACATACACAAAAAATATCTACACAAATTATTGATAGTAAACGGGAATGAGACTAAAAAGCGACAGCAAAAAATTCGTGCAGCTCTAAGTAAAGATGACTCGAGCTACTGATAAAAATCCCGCATGAAAATTACTCACAAAAATTTCAAGATGACCACATTAAGGCTTTCATAGCACAAACCACACCTCACCCCTCAAGACTGCTTTGTTTGAATTCATTCCCCCAAAACAACGGAAATGGAAAACATATACAACAGTTGTTTTCTCCTAAGACAGATGTTGTGATGCGTAATAGCATGAGATGGCTAAAGGCGCAGTGTTCCCGCTAATAAAACACCCCGTTTTATTCAATGAAAAAAATATATAATAAATAATATAGAGTACAGCCATCAAAATTATACAGAAATTGGTTTTCAAACAAATTTTTTTGTATCACCAAAAAAATATAGAAAATTACTAGAAATAAGTGGATTTTAATAACACATCATAAATGAAAATTCTGGGTCTCCTTGTGATATGCTGCCATCGACTATTTAAAAAGAGAAGTTTGAAGTATATTATAAAGGTATTTTTATCCATTTATGGTTGAATTTAACGGTTTCAAAAGCGATTCAAGTTAGGTGTTCCATGTAGTGGAACACTGAGCAACAAAGGGTTAAAACAAAAGAAATAGTCATATTTTTATATAAATTTAACTGCGTAAAATTAAATGATTTGTGTTTAAAAGATATTGATTTAAATGAATTAGAATTCTATAAATGTGCGTAAAGTATCTATAACATTCCTTAAAAAGCGTTTTACGTGTTTCTTCACAGTAATTACGGAGAAAAAATTGTCACAGCAGTTAAAGGTTAGCTGCTGTGACAATTTGATGAACCACAAAATAATGAGAAAAAATAAGAATATTGGAGTTTGTTTTTATGACTTTCATAATTTAGATTTACTGTTAATTCTCCTTCATTTTTTTTATATTTGCTTTTGTAATATAAAATACTTTTTTTAATGATTTTGTAGTTTTCTGCCCAGCTTCTATTACAGTAAATTTCAATGTATTTGTAAAATATGCGTTTGACAGCAGTTTTTTTTTTAAATTATGAAATCTTTCATATGAAAGTAAGATGTATTTGCCATAGATATATTACAACAAAAGTTAGCTGGGACAAAATATTGACAACCTAGCAAATCCATACAGGATTTTCATAATAATTTAACAATCTGTAAATGTTTGCTACAAAGTTTATTGCAATACATACATTGATATAAGGGTTTAATATATGGAAGCTGAAAATAAGGCATTAGCAGTATTCAACATCAAATTTTACACTAATATTCAAGAAAGACCCAGAAAATATAAACGTTATTTTTGATGAAAACCAAATATATATAGATATTAATTTACTTGGTCAATCACACTTTAAAACAAATACATTCTACGTTATTTGTGACCAAATTTGAAGCAAAATTAGCTCTAAATACAAAAAATATCAAGATATTAACAAAATTAACCAAATATTGTTTACAGAATTGGAAGAATGTATTAAACTGTACTACTGAAATAAAAAGTTTTTTCCCCATGACACTGATGCTAAAGAATTAGACATAAGCTGACATAATTTATTTTAATGGTAAGAAATAAATTTTGTGAAGCATGAATGATATGTACCAGTGCACAAAAAATAACATTATTGCACTCACATTCTTATAACCAAAAGATTGTTAACAATTATTTAACTATGCCTGTAAGTAACAAAAAGAAAAAGGTGTTTTTTTTAATATTTTAAAATTAAATATTTTAATTTGATAGTATAAAAAAGGCTAAACTGTAGAAAAAAAGCTACAGCTATTAGCAATGCTTGCTATAGAAAAAAGTACTTTTGAATGGCTAGCACATGAAAGCATTATCAATCAGTTTTCTGAAATGAGTAATTAAAATTTTTTAAAAAGCTGATTACTAATTATAATCACATATTGTTTCATGAAGATGAGCAACTTTTTATTATACAATTTTTATTGTATTAGTGTTTGCATTTTCTATTATTAAATCTTCATATTCACAAGGTCCCATAAATAGTTATGTTACTTTCAGTTGTCCATGTATGATTTAGCTTTAAACATTTAGTTAAACTTTTAAGTTCCAAATTTTGCAAAAGTAAGTCTTAAATAATAATAAGAAGAAGAACTTTTTTTGTTTTCTTTTTCTTTTCAGAAAAAGTAAAACATATTTATTTTGATCTCCTACGAGGAAGATGATGCCGTTGGATGTGTAATATCTGAATAAATCTAGTTTAACATCCAATGAATTTTTTTTATACATATACACAAGGTTTATGATATTTTTTCATAATTGTATCATTCTGAAGAGAAGTAATTGCTTAACAGCCCTTTTCTGCTAGTTCTGTGGGTATATTCCTCACACAAATAAAAGTCAGAAAGATGATTCTCTTGAGAGTAAGTTTAATAGAACTATCAGTTTATAATATCACATGGCTATCCTGCTCTGGAGAAATAACAATTTTGCGTTTATCAATTCCTTGATGACAAACTGTTCATACTGATATTAAATATCATATTAAACTTGAGTTTTAAATATCATCAATAGACCCTTCACCTTCACTTTTAAATCTTAGATACCTAGAATTCATGGACCACAGACCTCCCCCAGTGATCTGAAATGTGATCCACTGTGATATCAAAAATAAGAAAAGAAATATCTGTCCTGATGTAACTAGCCTCAATGCAGAAGACTATAGAGGGCTCACATCAAAATTACAGCTAGTCCAGAACAAATAAGGAAAAACTTATATTAAAGATGAAAAAATTGGTAAAATCTTTCTTTTATTCAGTACTTTTACATTTCATTAAAAAATAAATATATATGATTGCATGATGAACAATTTCTTGTACACAAATATCGGTCTTTTATCTGTTAAATTAAACAAATGCATATCTCACATTAGCGCATAGTAACTAACTCTTCAGCTGATGTAGGATGAATAGCTACACAATCATCAAATTGTTTCTTTGTTGCACCCATTTTAATGGCTACTGCAAAGCCCTGTAGAATTTCATCACAGCTTGGACCAACCATATGAAGTCCAATTACCTAGGAGAAAAGTATTTTTGAAGTATGCAAATTCAAAATTAAAGGACCATTAATAATAACTGATAAATGCAAACCACTTTATATAAATGATTTCAAAATATTTTATGGTATTTCTTAAATAATAATAATAATAAAATAAATAAATAATTATAAAAAAATAACCTTTCTTTTTTCTTCTTTAATTAATAAACTCTATATAAGTTAGCATCAAATTAAGTTTAAATGCACACACAAAATAGAACATTCGAACCCTGCCAAAATGAACCTAGATTATAAGGAAGCCCAAAATATAACAAATGAACTTTGATCCATCCAATTCCCTAATGCATTTAATGTTTCTGAAGATGATGATGAGGAGCTAGAGAAACTAACAGAGAAAGCGAAGAAGACTCTGAAGTATTTGAGAATATTTCTTAAATCACAAGATGCTACTTAGAATGGATTTCAGGCTATCGTTAGCCTTCAGAAAATTCTTCAAATAAAAATTCAGGCAGGAGAAACTAATGAGGGCAATTCTCATTAAAGTAGTATATCATAAATAATTTATTTATAGCTTTGTTACATATGTTAATATTCATAAAATACATATACATAAACAATAGTATACATTTTACCCATATAAACTGAATATCACCTGTATACTATATAGCGTATAGATACCTAAATACTTTAAAACGTCTCTGCCTCAAATACTTTCCCTATCTACAGAACTATTCCAGAAAATAAGTTTTTCTGCATCTGGGTTACGGCAGGTGGTTTCAGTGTCATGACAGTATTAATGACAGGTTTGACATCTAACATATTATAGTTGCATCAACAGAAGTTTCTGCTACAAAAATTAAAAGCCTTCATAATTAAAATCAACATGGTGTTTCTATAAATTTTCTATGTATAATATGAATACAGTATAAATTCAAAATCCAAACTTCCAGATCAACAACCAAAAATAAATAAAATAAAATAAATAAAAAAAATTAAAAAAAAAAAATCTTGCAAAGTCTAGGAATGGAGAACATGATAACAAAAGAAAGTGTGATTTTTCTCTGGACTAACTGAGATATTTGCATCTCACTTTTAAATACGTGCTGGCTAGGGAGTCACCCTGGGGGCCAATAATAATGCATTGATTGACTATGTACTGATGTTGGCTAGGATCAAACTTTTAGCCCTTGAGTGGTTTGGGGAGGAGCAGGACCAATGCTGCACATTTTGCCACTCTGCAAATCCTAAATTCTGCTGCACAGTACATCTCCAAATTCTACTGCCTAGTGCCCTTCCTAAATTATAAAGTCCACTGTCCGTAATTTTTGATAGCTGGTGCTCCTCTAAATTTTAAAGTTTTTGCCATCCCTAAATTTTGACACCTGGTTGCGACAGCACCAGTTGCACCTGCTTTAGACCTATGAAGAGGGGGGTTAGCCTTTTTCTGTCTGACCTGAACACTAAGTGAAATTCTGGTGTTGCTATCTTACTAAATTTAAAATGATGATCTAAAATTCTTTAATCACCAAAGTCCCAATGATTCTGGATCATGGACTTAATACTGTAACAGCCAATTTTCCTTAAAAAATCCTCCAAAAGGTATTGCTTACTAAGCACACAACTCCTAAGGAGCTTTGCCACATTTAATTAATCCAACCTAACATTCAACTGATAATTTTTCAGTATTAATAAAATAAAATTCTTTATTTGGCCATTTCCTATAAATTATACATACATAGCTATTTAATGCATTATTGATTTCACACAGAAAGTTTTACTTGAAGTTAATAAACATACCTTTTCTTCTACCCCCAAACATATAATTTTCATATGGCATTTCACTTTATCTTCAGTTATTGCATAATACAAAGGTGTGAATGTACTTTTATTCACTTTGATATTTTCTTTTCCATACATTTTGACAGCAACTTCTAAAAAAAGGGGGGGGGGTAAAATGAAGACATGTTGAAATAAATAAAACAACAAAAATTTAACAAATTTTATTATAATCTTTACAAAACTGTAAAAAATATAATAAGCAACAGTTCATGGATACTTTAAAGATGAATAAACTTAAATGCTTGATGATTTCTAATTACCTAAATTTGGAACTAAAGGAAAGGTAAAAAATTGTGGTCACCTAGACCTAATTTTGTTTTCACTGATCATCATGATCAAGTAAATATAAGAAGAATTCTGGTCACACTGACTTAATTTTGTTTTTGCGAACATCCAAATCAATTAAATATTCTGTTGAATTTGAATTATTTTATATGAAATAGATCACCTTGATCATATGAGTTATGTTGCACATCAGTTCATTTAGTGCCAAAAGATAAATTTTGAAGTATTGCTGAAATTTAATTGAGGAATTTTGTGGTGGCATTCACTACTTTGAGAAATTTTAAAAATAATATTTGAATGAATATTTCATATAAAGTTCAAGTATTTTGCTCTGAGCACATTTTGAAATGAAGCAATGCCAAATGTAAATACAAAATAAACAACTCTTAGTTTGCTTTGTAAGCAGAACAATAGAAAAGAAATAGAAATATGTAGTTGCAAGTTGCTGTATTTCGCATTAACCCTCTGAGTGGCACAAGTTTTTGGATCTGTCATGAAGACCTGTATTTAAAGACACTTTATTAGCTAAATTTGTATATTTACTTACTTTAGGCTCTATTTTCATAAACTTACATTTATTAAGATGATATTTATATTATTAAAGAAAGCAAGAAAGTAAAATATCATAAATTATAAGCTAATATATAACAAATGACAAATCTCATGATCTCATGACTGGATAAATCTGGCCATAATGTTCAGAGGGTTAATGTAAATTATTCGAAGTTTATATAATATATAGTTTATTTTCTGAGAATGGCATTGTGTATTTTATATGTTATTTCAAGCAATAAACAGAAAGTGATACAAAATGAGTTACTACTTTATTTCACATTTTGCTTTTGAATATGTATGTTTGATGTGTACTAAATCCGTATAAAAATATTTTAAAACCTATATATATGTTGGCATACTAAAAGGTTTAGGTGTACATTTTGAGGAAATTTATTAACTTTCATTTAAGCATGGGATATTAGGGAAGAAACAAGATTTAATTGAATTAGTAGAGACACTAAGTGTACCTATAGAGGAAAATTTTAGAATTCCTAATATAAGTAATGTTATAATCACTAGTCCCACGTATGATGAAGTTTATGAAAAAGTCTTTGAACCACATCATAAGTGATAGGAAATAAATGGAAATAGAACAGCGTGCTGAGAGAAAGAAAGAAAACGGATGGTTGTTTGAATTGGAGAAATTCAAATTAAAAGCTAGTATTACTATTAGGATAGCAGAGTCTGCAATGGTATCTTCTACTGTAGATGCAGAAATGCCCAAATTAAAACTGAACAAGTAAATTCCAAATTTTGACCCTAAAAAAAAAACCGATATGAGTTTTTTTCTAGACTTGTTTGAGAGGCAATTAACCCTTCTGAAGGTGCCAATTTCAAAATAGGTAGTCTATCTTGTTGGTCTTCTGCCAACCAATGTTGAAAACTAATTTTAAAAGATGTTGTGCTTATGTTGGTGCTCAGGATTATCAGAAAATTAAACAAATTCTTTTAGAGTGATTCAAACTGAGCACTGAGAAATTTTGAAAACTGTTTACCTAACATCCAGAAAAATCCAGAAACACCTGAGAGACTTTTATTTTGACTTACAAAACTATTTTGATGGCTGGCTTAAAGAATCAAAAGTCATGATGTTTGAGCACTTAAAGAATTTATTAGTGGCAGATCAGATTAAGAAGAAGAAAGCCCCTCCAGATTATAAAGAAAATTCTGGAGGTAACTGGAGTGAGCGGAACAACCCACTTCAGCATGCTGAGAAATTAGATCTGTATGAAAAAGTTAGACATGTTCAAAATAAAAGTGCTAGTAAAGAGACCCCCCCCGAGTTTCAACAACAAAATGGAACGAAAAATTATAGAGGTAAATCACAACATTCTAAAAACAGCTCATCATGAGATAATGCAAAAAATGGAGGTCAACCACCTGTTTTTTGCTATGAATGTGGGATGTCAGGCTTAACTAAGTCTAAATGCCCTATCTGCTCCTCTCTTCTCATGAAAGCAGAGGCTGATTTCAGAGCTATATACTTCAGACATTTTCTGTCAAGAAACACCGAATGACTCTTTTGAGAGTAAAAATAAATGGCTTAACCAGAATTGTATATGATGACATTGGAGTTAGCCACACCAGTGAGAGAAACATTATTTCGTTCTTTGAGAGAAAGAGGAATAGAAGTTAGGAAAACCTGCATGAATGTTACCTTCGCTGATGGTCTCCAGAAGGAAACAGAAGTTTATATGACTCAAGTAGATATTGAAATTGAAGGCAATCATTCCAAATAACTTTATTTGTGTTACCTACAGCAAAAAATAACAGGACACTTTTAGGAAATGAATATTTATGTAGTGCTGGAATTGTTTTAGACCTTCCAAATAAGAGATGGTATTTCCATTACAACCCTAAACAGAAATTAAGCTTTTGTGATGATGCTTTCAAACCATCCGAGTGTCCAGAAAAAAAAAATGCGGAATTCAATATATTGTGATTATGAGAAAATGCAGGAATGCATTTAATTGAACACTAAAGGGGAAAACTCAATGCTCGTTAACTAAATATGAAACTGTGTTCCAACCAGGGGGAGAAGCAACTCCCTACATTGAACACCATATAAATACCAGGAATAATTCTCCAGTTTCAGTACCTCCATACCAGATGTCTCCAGCTAAGAAAGATATTTTAAAGAAAAATTATAGGAATAGGAGGGATATTTTAAAGTTTGATGACCAGCTGGAAAAGAAAATAATCAAAGAATGCGAGGCTCCATACGCTGCACCAATGGATCTTGTGCCCAAATCATACGGAAAAGTCTGACTTTGCTTTGATTACTGAGGACTGAATGCTGTTATGATGGTAGACTCATATCCATTACCTAAGATGGATGACTTGCTGCATGCTTTTAAACACATACCATATATGACAACAACTGATTTACGGTTTAGGTACCATCAAGTCAGCGTCTGTCCTACAGACAGAGATATTTGTTTGTCCTTTTGGTACAGCATTTGTTTTCCAGTTTGTTCGAATCCCTTTCGGACTGAAGACAGCTTCCACCACTTTTCAGAGATTAATTGATAAATTCCAAAAAGGCTTGAAAGATTTGCATGTTCTCTTTTACATAGATGATATTATAATACTATCACAGACTTTTGAAAAACATGTAGCTTATCTGGAAGCAGTTTTCGAGAGACTGTCGCAATTTAAACTTAATGCAAATCATATGAAATGCAGTTTTGTTTGCAGTCAAGTAAAATATCTTGTCATTTGATTACTGACGAAGGAGTAAAAGTTGATCCAGAAAAAAGCTCTGCTATACAGAAGATGCCTGCTCCAAGGAATGTGAAACAAGTGCAGTCTTTCTTGTAGACCTGTTCCTGGTGTAGAAGATTCATATCAGCTTATGTTATGGACATAACATAAGCTGGACCAGAGGTAGAAAATTCTTCCAGACATTGAAACGACTTCTTATTAGCCTCCCATCTTAAAGCAAAACAATGCAACAAAGCCTTACATCATTCGAACGGATGTTATTAATTATGCTTTTTATGCTGCGCTATTACAAGGAAAAGGTTCAGAGGAACATCCAATAGAGTATGCTAGCTGTTTGTTGTCCACCGCTGAAAGAAATTACTCCGCAACAGAAAGAGAAGCCCTTACTGTTGTATGGGCCTTGAATAAATTCTGTGGTTATATTGATGGTCAAGAGATTACTGTGGCATCTTATCATCAACAGCTGAAGTTTATTATAAGCTTACAGTCACCTATGGGCAGACGTGCTAGGTGTTCTTATAAGGTATTTCTCCCACCTTTTTAGAATGCCTTCATGGTGTAGTGGTCAGCACAGTGCATATTCTAGAGGTTCGTGGTTTGAGTCCCAGAAAAGGCATTGCTCATTTTTCATCTCTCCTGCTTCGAAATAACTTAATGTCTCTACAATGGCGATCGAACTAAAAAAAGGTGGTGGATAATGATTCTCCACCACCAGAATTTAGCGATTGGGTTCCTAATCTCCAGTCACCCTTTAAAAGGGGAAGTATATAAGGTAGTTCTCCCACCTTTTTAGCATGCCTTCATGGCATAATGGCCAGCACACTCGGCATATATTCAAGAGGTCCATAGTTTGAGCCCCAGCAAGGGCACTGCTCATTTTTCATGACTCCTGTTTCAAAATAACCTAATGTCTCAACAAGTTATGCAATTACAATCTTATAATCATAGAACTACATTCCTGGAAGAGCTAATTTTGTAGCTGATATGTTGTCACTCCCTGTGTTTGCAACTATGAAGGAGAATCATGTGAAGTTTGAACAATAACCATTGACATGCTCACCAGAAGTGAAGCATGAATTTGTGGAGAACAGCTGAAGGATACAGATCTTAAACAAATCATAGAATCTTTCGAAAGTGAAGTCAAAGATGAAAATTTTTCTAATTAGATCAAACAAAGTTATATAATGAACCAAGGAATTTTGTATTGCTATTCCTCAGACTCTGAATCAGAGGAAGCTCAACTAGTAGTACCAATACAGGAACAAATGACAGAATTTACCAAAGATATTATTTCACAGGAATGCACAAATTCATTGCAGACTATGACTGTGACGAGTATAACTGTTACAAACCTTCAAATCAAAAGCCATCTGGCCTGCTTCAAACGCCTGTATATGGCTAACACTTCGAAATGCTTGCTATTGATTTAGTTGGTCCACTACCTGAAAGTAACAATGGGAAAAAAAAATCAATTTTTATTGTTGAAGATTGCAACATTAAATGGGAGTAGCTTTTCACTTTACCCACAAAGGAATGTTAAAGGAGTACATTAATCAAAGACATTTTTGAACAATATAGATGTCTCTGAAGCTTGTCAGTGATAATGGAACTCAGCTCGTTAATGCTGTCATGCAGCAAGTGTGTTTTCTTTTTAACATTGACCAAATGTTCACTCCAGTGTATCACCCTCAAGCTTATCCAGTAGAGTGAAAGAACAGAGATTTGAAACCTAGATTAGCCATACTTGTGGGTGATAAACATTCTTCTTGAGCAGAAAAGCTTCCAACAATTTGTTTCGCAATGAATACTCATAAATGTAAAACCACTTGCCAAACTGCTGCATTTCTCCAATTTGGTACAGAGCTATGTATGCTGAATGATGTTACACATGATCTTAGGCATGTTATCATGATAATTTTGTAGCAGAAATTACCCCATATTTGAAGAGATTTGCAATGACAGTCAACCAGGTAAATCAGTAGTCAACCAGGAACTGGTTGAAAATAAAGTACAGAAACCTAAAGTACAAGAGTACCAAACAATATGCTGATGCAGGTCGAAGACCTGGATGCATAATGGCAAACCACACATTGAGTTGATCAATGTTAACGAATTTCGATTACTGTGCATGCTCAATGGCGTACCGTTGGTGTGGGAGGAAATACTGGCAACTAAGGCATAAGCAACCCTACAGAAGTATATACGAATGGAAGGTATGGTAAATATTTGATTGCTTTTATTCCTCAGAAGTATAATCAATTAACATTCAGCTAATATATCGTGCAATGTTTCCTGTTTTGTAATTCTTCTTAAATAAAAATTTGTGTAGTTTACTATTGATACTTACTCTCTGAGTAATGAAGCAACTTACAACCTAACAAGTTTTAAAACCCAGAACTATTTATGATAACAAATAACATAATATCAACCATATACTGAATTTATCTTCTAAAATTACGCCAAAATTGAAATTGTGTCAAATTCTCTTCTGGGCATGCGCAGTATGCGAAATTCATTTAACATTGATCAACTGAAAATGCGGTCTGCATTGGATGGCCTTGAATACCAATTTAAACCCAGAGATTGAGTTTGGATATTCAAGCCCTACATAAGCAAATCCACCTAATAGGAAACATCTAAGTTTATGACTCATTGAGATGGATCTTATGTTATCATGACACTCAACTACTACCTACGAGGTTTCAAACTTAAGTGAGCCTGATAGTACATTGGGTGTTTATCATTTCTTGACCTTAAGATCTTGCTTTGACTCAAATTCATCACATCTTCAACCTTTTCACAGAAGAAGGATGTCTCAGGAAACATGCTGCTGGTTCCTCCTCAGGATGACATCATAGCTAGAGGGGGATACTGTAACAGATGGCGTGAGTCATTCTTCAAACCGAGTATATGCTCTAGGTCACGTAATGTGAGATTCATAAAAAAATAAACATTTACTTCCTTTTTACAAATCATGTAAAAAAAGGAACTTTTGCTAGGACTTGAACTCTGCGTGCAAGCAATGTAGCTTATAAAATCTGTCAGTTTTATATATGTTACTTCATTAACAAATTGGATTTCCTCGTACTTAATTGTCTTAATTATTAACCCTGAGATGTTTTTGCTATACTACTGAAAAATATATGTTTTAATTTACAAATAAAATAATTAATGATAATAAATTATGTAAAAATCTAAACATGCAATAAAAATGCAATTTTTGTTCCAGTTTGCAGGCTCTCCCCTGCCCCCGGAAGTTACTAAAACCAGCCATGGGTAAGAAAACATGTACTTTTTAAAATTGTAACTTGTATTAAACTGCATGGCAAAAGAGAAAAATTTTAAATCTATAAAACTATTGGAATGTTTTTTATTTTAAGGAATCAATTCTATCAACCAATAAAAAGTACTGGATTTGCCTAGTGATAAGCTCTTCCATCAGTTATTCAATGGGGCTTTTTAACCCTTCCCTAAAACGCCCAGACATTTGTTCCTGAAGCAAATTTTTATGAGACAATTGATAAAATATAAGAATTTGATGACTCTGTCTTCTTATCCTTTTTTTAAGCATATGAAAATCAACAGAAATATTTCCTTCTTAAAATTGTACTTGTAGCAATATTACATCTGGGAGTGGTGATGATATTTAATAAGTATTTTTTCAAGTATAAAATTTTTCCATCAAGCATAAACATAACCAAATTTTTTATTTTACTCTAGGCACAGGTTACTAAATCTTTCTTCAATGTGGCTGAACAGACAAATATTTTTAGCTTCATTTAACAAGTCACATTGCATGAAATATACATCAAAGCAGACAGACAAAAAAATGAATATAGTTTACATGCAAACAGTAAAAGCAATTAAAAGTCACAATGTAATAAATATTTGATGTTTTATAGTTTCTGAAATTTCTATAAAATAATTAACATTTTATTTCACCATTAAAGAAATTCTTCTGGATAAAAAATTCAACGGCTAAATATGGTTTGTGTTTCCAAAATTTCTGACAGATTATGAACATATACTGAAGGAACAAGCGACAGTTGCTTATTTATAGAATACCACTATTACCCCATCTTTTATAATGGAAATGACTCAATTACTTAAAATATTATTCATCAGTCAATTAGTCATTACCACATAATGACAGCCAGCATGAATTGAATTAAAAATATGCAAATCATATGTACATACTAGATGTCATAGCTGTCTCTACAGTTGAAGAGATAACAAGAAACTCTAAAATATGATGAATTCAATACATTAAGTAGAAACTGTATACTACATTCAAGTAGAAGGCTTAATAGCTTAATAAGGTGTTCACACTAGTGAAATTTATAAGACACATGATATCCAGACTTGAAATAAAAACAAACAAAAGCATGACTGTAAATGACATCATTAAAAGTTTTCTTTTAATCTAGAAAATGATAGCCAAGTATAGCCATAATATAATACAAATATACAGCCATTCACTTAAGATGGAGCTTTGAGATCTACACTGACCCCTTCATTTTCCAGACATCAAACTAATTACAGATATCTAAAATACAGACGAATAATCGTATTATTAAATTACAAAGAATTATGGATGGTCATCTTATAGCTAAGTATTCAAGCACCTCAGTGGTTTCACCAACTCTTGGCATTCATGCCCAGTCATGTATTTGCAACTGTTTCAGCAAGACAAAGGATTATATAATATTGAATAGTTTATCCCTAATGTTTAAATCTTCAGTCAGTGTGCAATACTGTACATTTAATAAATTAATACAAAACCAAAATATATAGTACCTTCGGTTAGTCCAACTGTAGCAGCAGGTGGATGACTAAATACTACTGATGGAATATTTGAGTATTCCAAAATGGAGTTAGGATCATTTCCAAATAAACGGACAGCTAACCTTCGCCCAGCTGCTATAGCCACTTTAAAAGAAAAGTAAAAATATATGAAATGTTACTTATAGAAAAATGAAATTATAAATAAATTTTCTATTACATACCAGGAGTTAGTAGCCACTTCCCACACACATCTCCAAGAGCATAAATTCTATTCTGCGTTGTTTTTTGGTAATCATCAACTTTGATATATCCTGCTGTATCAAGGCTGATATCCTAGTGAAATGAAATTACATGATATAAATCATAAATTAAAGAATAAATTTTGATTTTAATACTATTATAATATTATTCAGCTCTTATATACAAGCTCTATTGCTCAAAAGCATAGTTTTTAAAAAACTGCTAAAAATTAGTCATTAAGATTATTATTGTTTCAAGTATATACACAATGTGACTTTTATTGTCTGTTTAGATTATTTATTTCAAGATCATCAGGAAGTTTAATAAAACATGAACATGTTCAATTCAATATCAGTTATATTTTAATTCAACAACAGTTCACATATGGATTCAGAACAGTAGAATATATATATATATATATATATATTTGGTGGTTTCACAAAAGCTTAAATTTCTGCAACAAAAGTTCAAGACATTTGAATTTGCATATCCAAAGTCAAACTTCCATATCCTTCATAATATTGCATCCATGTTAGACAATCAGCTTTATAACTGTCACCTGAAATGTTGTACATCATACATGTAAAAGGACTTATTTTTAAAAATAGTTATGGTGGGCTATTATAGCTCTTTAAAGAAATTTTCTTTCAAAATTTAGATATACTAATTTTAGTACAATAAAACTTGACATTTTTTAATGGGAGAATTTGCAGCTGCATACTTATAATGTATAAATGTGAAAAGGATTTATACATAGATATAATTAAAGGTAATAAGGATTTACATGGAAATCTTCCTTTATGAATTAGTATCTGTTCCCAGCTCTTTGTTGAAAGAAAGAAAATTGAGCTCATGAGATTTGCACTAAATTGCACTGATACTGCTGTTCAGTGTTTAAATTGCAGAATTTATCCAGAAATGAATACATAGTTATAGTTAGTTGTCTGGTTATTAGGAGAGCCTAATTTTTAATCTGGATAAAGAAAGAATGTGAACCAAAAGCTTTTACCTTTACTGTAAAATAGTTTTAATAACATTTTATGCATAACTTAATTTTAATCTACTATAATTTCTTAGAACACACTGTTCATTTATTAAAATTAATGGCTACAAGCCTTTTTTAAAAAAACTTTTATATATTTCCAAAAATTAAGATAACATGAGAAGTTGAAAATAAATCCCAACATTTTTTTTTTTTTTTTTTTTTTTTTTTTTTTTTGAGAAATCATAAGGCAATGGGTAAGAGGTCAGTTTTATGTGAGAGTCATCCTTCCCTGATTTAGTGATACAGTCAAAAGTCATTAAAACCCCATAACGGAATATCTTAAGCCTCCCAAAGCTACAAACTTTCTGAGCATGTGTCGCATTGACGCATGCACATAGGCGTTTACGCGTGCGTGTAAGACCTTTAGGGCTGCGAATATGCGTCTGCGAATGTGCATAATACGTTTACGCATGCGCGTTTAATGTATAACGGATGGTATAAGCTAAGCTAAAATTATCTAATTCAGTTAATGTTGCAGATTGCGTTGTTCCTTAATCTTCGAATTGGATCCGGCTTATTATTTTTTGCAGACTGTTAGAGTTATTTTATAAAAGTAAGCTTGAACTTCGATTATGTAAAAGAGAATTTCCGATATATATTTACTAATATGTAAAGAATCTACAAAGAGAAAGTATGTTTCGAAATCCGAAATCTGTTTATCAATTTCACGCTGCTCTGCGGCTGGGGGGCGGGAATGAATTGGAAATTGATCTGTCAGCACTATCCTTATCTTCAGGGCAGATGTTTTTATTTTATTTGGCTTATAACTCCTTACTAATTGTACTATTTCATCTCAATGTACTCCGTCTTTGATATGATTTAAATCAAGTTCCTCGTCATTATAATTCGCTAGGACTTGAACAGCGGAACTTTGTAACTAAACAAGAAATTATGTCTGTTTAATAGAATTAAAGAGAAAGTATTATCACATGAAACGAAGCAACTTAAACAAACTTACATTGAAAGAAATGTTTTAATAAAGTAAACAAATAAATATTAAGCTTTTTTTCTTTTTGTGTGTAATTTTATAAAATACCCCTTTAGATCATAATTGTTCTTTATTTCATAAATTACGGTTTCATATTTTTAATTTTGTAATTTCTGCATGCCATCTTACCAGATTTAAACTGATGATCTATAATCCGGAATCGCTGAAGTCCCGACGAGTCCGGATTAATGACTTTTGACTGCATATAATCTAGATCAGGGGTGTCAACTTCTGTGTATATATACACTGCCTGTGATTAAAATTGCAACACCAAGAAGGGTTGATGTGACAAATGTCAAAATCACATGAAAGGAAGAAGTTGGAATATGAAAATGATTAATATTTCAGCACATTTAGATGATGCAGGAGGGAGAAACAACATCTGAAGAACTGCATAAAAGAAAAGCTGTGTAGTGGATTTCTCATTCGGAAAGAAGAGCTTTGTAATGTTGGAGTTTGCTCAGAATATCCTGTTATGCCTCAAATAAGAAGAGGAAATGCTTACCAGCAAGTTTCAAAATTTGATAGAGGCAGGATTGTTGCCTATCGAAAAAGTAGATTATTGCTCCGTGATATCACTGGTCGCACTGGTTGACATCCAACCACTGTCATGCAAACATGGAATCAATGGATTGTTGAGGATCATACTGAACGGCATGCAGGATCTCAACACTCTGCCATGTCTAATGCCAGAGAAGATAGACATATTGTGAGGTCAGCTCTGCAAAACCATGCGACTCACACACTATAAGTCAGGAAATGGGCATGCTTGCAGCACAGCCAGTATCAGCTCGTATGGTGCATCAACGTTTGCAGCAGTGTAGACTATCAGCAAGGTGATTATTACTTCGGTTTCCCTTGACAATGCAGCATAGAGAGAGATGGCGACTCTGGTGCACCAAACAATAAAGCTGGATACAGGAGTCGCATACCTTTTCAAATGAGTCTCAGTTCTGCATGCAGTACTCTGATAGCAGTATACGTATCTGGAGTGCCCAAGGAGAACACACGTCGCCTACTTACATTCAATATCAGCATAGGGGTCCTACACCTGGTGTGATGTTTTGGGAAGCCACTGGGTACACCACATGCACATCTCTAGTTTATCGACAGTAATTTGGACACAGATGAGTACATTTCTGACATCTTACGTCCAGTGGTTGTACCCTATCTTCGAGGCCCCCAAACACCATGTTCCAACAAGATAATGCAAGACCACATGTTGCACGCTGTGTTCTGACCTTCCTCGATACACAGTGCTGTGCTGGCCTGCACGTCTTCAGATCTGTCCTCCACTGAAAACATCTGGTCATGGGTTGCTGAGAGACCGGCCCGCCACCCCTCTCCAACTAATATGGTTGATGAAGTATGGCAGACTTGAAGACTTTTTATAGGCTTGAAGCCGCATGCAATGAGTTGCCCATATCTGTCATCCAAGCCCAGTTTGATTCCATATCTAATGGGGTGAGAGCCATTTTAGCTGCCATAGGTGGCAGCTGTTTCTACCAGTTTCGCACTTCTTTAAACCTCCAAAATGCTTACAAATTTAATCATTTTGTCTTCATGCCATATTGTTTACATGCAATAAATATCTTTTTACTTCCTTGTACGAAGTAAAAACAAAGTATTGTAATCACGAAAAGTTTCAGGCATCATATTTCAATGCAAATATCCATTTTCACCGCTATTGAATGCACTTTAATGACGTTTTTGCCTGACATCTGTACGTAAGGACTTTTTTTCCTTAAAAAAATTGTAAAACTAATTTAAAATGAATTCTGAAGAGAATTTTTCATGGCGTCTGTGTGTACGTATCTTGCATAACTCAAAAACCAGTAGCCTCATTTTGTATATAGGACTACTATAACATGTAGAGGTGCACCTCATATTTTGGTTGCAATCGGCCACACCAAAAGTATATAAATATATCCACTCTGTTACTCGGCTCAGTGATCTCAGTTTCTTTATTCTTATATGTTTGTAAATTGTGCATTTTTTGCTTTAAAAATGATTGACTTATGTTGTTCTTATCTTCTGGTTAAGGTTTTTATGCCTTTAGTGAATATATATGAAATATTTTTAGAATTATCAACAATTTAAAAGTTGTTTAAGTGCTGCTAAGCCTAAAATTTTTTTCCATGGCAGCGATTGCTTGTTTACATTTGAAACAGCAGAATAGTAGTTTTGTTGCCAATCTAGAGAAAGTAAGCTTCACAATAACAAAGATAACACTGTCTTTGATTATTGCGAATTAAATCATGTTTAATCCATTCTAGAATTTATTTGAGGAAATAAGTGTTTAAGATTTACTTCGTAATTTTTTATATAGATATTTTGAATTTTTATGTATTTTTGCCTTGTCACAAAGTGAGAACTGAATAAATAAGAAATACTGAAGTGTCTGTGAAAAAACTTTTTTTTTTTTTTTTTTTTTTTTTTTTTTTTTTTTTTTTTTTTTTTTTTTTTTTTTTTTTTTGTTTAATTTCTTTTATACATCATTTTAGATTTATTATAGTATTTGAACAGAACATGTGGTAACAATTAGTTAATTCTTAAGAAGATATAAATTTTGTGCATTCTGAGATAAAAAATGAATGAAATGTAATGCTGTTAAGTGAACCTAGGGCCAGAGTGTCGCTATGGTAAACAAATATAGTGAATTTTAAAGAGTGCATTTATTCTATTGTGGTTTATGCACTAGCAATGAAGTAGATTTAATTCAATCCACTAAGTTTAAATGAAATGTAAGAAAAAATGGGTATAATTTAATATTCCGTATAAGGAAGTCATGTGGTGCACACATCAGATTTTTTTGTATTTGCTTTCCTTCATGGTGTTGCAATTTTAATGGTAGCAGTGTATATTATTATTATTATTGGCGTGATCTACCTAATGAATAAATAAAATTTTGAATTTTGATATTTAACACATTACAACTTCTATCTTGTGTTCTGATAAGTGAAAATGGAGGAGAAGGCATTAAACCAACATGATACATTATTAATAAAATTTATTAATTGAAACGGATCCATAGAAAAAATACAAATTAAACTTTATTTGATTATATTATTATTATTTTTAGAAGTCTACATGTGTCTAATCAAGTATTCATTATTTGGTGTGTATCCAGACAAAGATAGTTATAGTGAATTTTCAGAATGGGAATCAGTAAGTAGGGGGCAATGTTTAATTTTCATGAACTTTAAATATGAAAAAGGCAGTTCACATAAGTATGTAAACACATTCACTATATTTGGTGGTATTGGGATCCTTTTCTCAACTGATGCATTTTCCCATTCAGCAAAGCCTCTCAATACCCATGATGATTCACCTCTCAGTACTGATAATGTGCAAGACATAATGAGTTTTGATCTGCTACAGAAAGCACAAAATAAGATTCCATGCTTGTGAAATAAATAAGAAAAGCTATCGTAAGGCAGCGACTCCTAGAGCATTTCCAGTTTGTAAGGTCAGACCAATTTGTAGAGGATTGTATGATCAAATTCAATTTTTTTTTTAAAGCATTCAATGTATCAGAAAATTTTTGCGGCAATAGTTTTATATAGAGACTCTTATTAAAAGGAAAGACAGATACCAAATAATAATAACTTTTTCAAAATCATAAAATCTGTCCTCAAAGTTTTCAATCACCTTATTAACTTTTGCATCATATATTTCAACATTATAATTTTGATACTATTTGTAAGTGATGACAAATGTTTCAAAAGTGATTCAAATTGTTTTGTCGAAGGCCTTCTGTTAGCATAATAAATTTTGTTTCATATGTATTAATGCTACTGATCATTTCAATAATTGTCATTTTTTCCCTTTTTCTATGAATTCTTTGCAGTTCTAAATTTAAATAACTTAATTTTGAAGTAACATCTGTAAGAAATGCTAAATCATTGAATCACATTTCATCATTTAAATTTGCACGTTCTAGATCTTTCCCTCTAAGAAAATTTTTAAATCAGTTAATAAATTATTATATCACTGCAGATGCCTTCTACTTTGCCACCTTACATCAGTATACAGGGCTTAATTTCTAAAATTAGAAGTGCAGGAGTTCTATGGAAGACTGTCAGGAAAGGGGAGCAAGAATAAATAAATAAATAAAATGACTAATCAAATCATTAATAATTAAATAATTAATCATTAAAACAATTAAATAATCAATGATTAAAGTAATCAAAAATTAATTGATTATTAAAATCATTAAATAATCACTGATTAAAGTAATTAAATAATTAAAATTTAACAAAATGTAAAGAGATAAATTAAAAATAAATAAATAAGTTAAATTGAGATCAAATTTCTGATGAAAAATTTTTCAGTTACATAAAAGAAGTGCAAGAACCTTCTTATTTAGGGCTCCTGCACAATGTAAGCTCTGTCAGTAAGTAATAATGATTCTAGCTGTCCTTCATTAAGTTGCTACTGAAAGGAAATTTCTTAAAAAAAATTATCACTTTTGAATCCTATGTTCATTAATTCTTGTGCATTTAAGCTTTTGCTGGCAAACACTTGTTGGTGCATTATGGAGCGGTAGCTCAAAAAATTTGGGAATTTATCATCATTTTGGCATAGTTATGATAGGCTGCATAAATCAATTTATGCAGCCCATCATTACTCTTACTTTATCACTTGTTATTCAAAATAAAAGTGGTAGTTTCAAATTACTGAGAACATTTTTAAAAGATCCGATCAACACCTATAACCCTTTCTTTCAAAGAAATCACACTCAACAATTTCTCTCTAGATGTATAATCTTTAAAAACCATATGAATAAAAATAGGCAATTATACTATGTCACTTATATGGATGAATTCATCAAATGGAAAAGAAAGACAAGAACATCTATTAATACTGTTATGCAACTATTTTTTTTTTATATTAGTACTTCCTTATTATAGCAGCCGCTGAGATTGAATAGGTTGAAAACCGAGATGACTTGTCACGTGTTTTTTATTAGCATCATGTTTCACCTTTGCTAAGATTTTCAAATTTGCAATCGTTTTTTTTAAAGTATTCCACACATTTTTGCGAATATGTGGTTAACAATTTTTTATTTATCAAATAAAGAGGTTGATATCATATCATCATTTCAAGAAGAGGTCTTTTATCTGACAAATGAGTACATGAAAATAGCCACAACAGGAAACTATGCGTTAATGATGAAATCATTTGGAAGTGCAATATTAAAAATTTTAAAAAGAAGAAGGGGAAAATTAGTTTAGTGGTTCCATAATAGTGTTGGTCACTGCTATTATATATATGTATTCTTGAGCACATCAAATTATGTGAAAAACAGCTTAATATATGTGAAAATGCTGCAATGGATTGGAACAATTACATGTGGGAAATGTGTTCCTTATACCTGATATAAAGATTCAATGGGCAGTCCCAATAAAATAGTTGAAATCAATGACAGCTTGTTCATCTGATGTAAGAACATAAGTGGCAGGATGCTCCCACAACAGTTAATTTTTGGAGAGATATGACAGGAAAATGAGATTGCTTTGCTATTCAAATTTCTAATACTGATGATAGTGCACTAATGGAGAAAATTATTCAACATGTGCAAGATGGATCAATGATCTAGTCAGACTGCTGGAAGAATATAAAATAGAGTAACTTGGAAAGCTGGTTATAGTCACTTTAATTATTATTAAAAACATTCTTAGCAAACATCTGAGTATTATTGTTATTATTATACATTGTGTTGTTTTATTTTACATTCAAGCCTTATAAGTTTGGTGAAATCACAGCTGCATAAGGCTGGAGGCCGCTATAATAAGGCAGTATCCTTATATTTTCAATTGTAGCAATAATTTCAACCTTGTCCTTGATATCATTAAAAAATGAATCCAAGAAAGTTTCTTTTATAATGTCTTATGAGTAACATTGTTATTATTATACATTATGAGTAAATGGTTCAAATTTTTCTTTTGCTAAATTATGGCTTACTTTGAGTGATGTAATAGTCACTACACATGATTTTAACACGGGCTTTATAAAAACATTTTATTCAGCTCTAAATTGAAATAAGGCCTTATGATCCCTAATTTTATTTTCTTACTCAAGTCATTATTTTGTGGATAATATGATAATTGCCATGTGAAGTTAAAAAATGCCTATCCGTTTTAGTAATGGCCACAGAAGCACTGCATATTAAGCAGCAACATTATCATGCATCATAAAATAGCAATCAAGATACCATCTTTTCTGATCATATGATTTTTTTGGTTTACCAATTTTAATAGAGAACAAAATCCAATAAAAGTATACAAGCAAACAATTTTAATTTAAAACACTGAAAGAAGATACTAACATTTTTGTACAGCAGTAGCGTTGAGAAAAATTACCACTTTTTCTAGTGAAATACTAATACAATGAATGTTTCAACTATGGTTAATACTAAATTCTAAACAAAAAAGACACACATAAAAGAAAGGCACTCCAAGGAACTCACTAGATGGTGTGTTGGAGTGCAAGCGTATGCTGCTCTTTCACTTTCTTGACGGCTGTCAGAAGATGCAGTGTCAGCATCAACTTGAATACTAAGGAAACCATGATCACTTGCTTCTAAGAATCATAACTAAGTTGCATTTCTGTGTTGAAATTATCTCCTGTCTGCCATGATCGAGAGATTTGTTTTGTGATTGAACAGTCAGTTGCAATTGACTTTTCCTGACCTATATCATGCAAACAGTGCTAGTGCAGTGCTAGCAGAAATATCTGTGAGGAGGACATTCTGTGCTTAGCAGATGTGGAAAGCACATGTGTTTTGCAGTCATGGACAAAGGAGGAAGTGAAAGCTGTTGTGCTGTATGAAGGGGGCCTATGGGACAACTGATGCTGAAATTAATAACCAGCTCACGGAAGTGCAGCATCCAAGCATCATGTCAAAGTAAATGGTGCCTGTAGTTCAGTGAGGTGTATGATCATGTGTTGGCCACAGTGATACCTCAGTGTCAGCAACACTGCAGAGGAAAACATCAGTTATGAGGAAGAAATGATTCAAGACATGAAGAACTGAAATCATGAAGTGGCTCTTTCACATGTAAAAGATTTCCCCCCCCCCCAGTACGGGTTTTTAAACTATGTTAAGCACTATGACAAATGCATCAATATCCTTTACGATTATGTAGAAAAATAAAGTAATCCAAAATAAAGCAACAGAAATTTACAGTAATTTAATTTATGATATAATAACAGCATATCCAGAATATTTTCTTTCTTTCTTTTTTAACATACAAATAGATAACTACATGAAAATGTTCACATTTCCAGTAATTTCCAGTAAATTAAATTTACTAACAATTATATTTTTGATGATATATCTCACAAAATTTGTATGGCACATATAACATAGCATACTATTTTTTAGAATTAATCTCATCCCAGATTGTTACAATTGGAATTATAAAGGAATAAGAGTATAATAAAATAATACTCTAGATTATATATATAATACACATATAAAGAAACAGAAAATAAATGTTTAGTATAAATGACAACTATAATTAAATTTATGTTATTCATTCTCATACTGTTATTTCTTAACATATATAATAAATAAATTCAAAATTTTATTTTCCCCTTTACTCTTAATTTTTCCATACTAAACTCTAACATAAGCAATTACTAAATGTAATTTTATAACTGTACTTACAGACTTTTCGATGCCAAAATCTGTTTTAGGTACACGTCCTATAGCCCAGAGAACATTTTCATCTACTTGCCTGTTATTAGATAATACAACTCTAAATTTATCACTTATCCTTTGGACAGAATTTACCTAAACAAAAAATTATTGTCAATACATATAGCAATGAAATGTGCAACACTGCTCCTGAAAATAAAATTACTACTTATCTTTTGAGAAGAGTTTTAAAAGCAGTTTCTTTCAACTTCATCACATTTCATTTTTCCACTTTTTAGAGAATTAGATCCTTTCTGTTCATTCTACTGTACTAGTTATTTTCCTTTCACTTTACAAAATATAATACTTCCTTAGAGGAAAAATGGATATTCCTAGAGGAATTTTTAGAGCAGTGCTTCCTGAACTTTTCAGCCTTATGCGAGAATGATTCAAGACAAAAAATAAATATCTATAATATAACCTTCAAATCCAAGACTCAAGTAAATTTTCTTTTATTGCATCAACAAACTCAAACAAAGGCCATAAAGTAACAATTTAAACTATAGGATTATGGAGAAAAAATTATTCCATATTAGATGAATATGGAGACAATTTTATATTTTAGCCAAAACAATTTTTCACGAACAACATCAGCATGTCAGCAGGAGTATTATCACAGTACAAAATCCATGACTTATCTCACACCAACTCAGAGTCATTTTCTAAGCAAATGCCACCACATTCAAATAATAATTTTTGTTTAGTTTAGCCAGTCAGTAGAAAGTCATGATGCACAACTTCACAGCAGTCAAAGAAAATAATTAATATTACCTACACTTTTTATCATTGACATGGTCTTTTAGTCTTGTTTCACCTTTGAAGGGTCATTCATTTGTTTACTGATCTACTTCTGAATCAAAAGAGTTGACCCATGTTTCATAACCGGTAATAATGCAATTTAAGAAGGACTCACCTTGAGAAAGCATGTTCTAGTAAATTGAATATGTTCTTTTTGAAAAATTAAATAATTTAAGAAGTTGGAACAATTTAAGAAGTGACATGCTATAAGTCCAAATAATCTTTATAAATTTCTTGAAATTATCAAATGATAATTTGTTCAATAACATAATCCAAAAGATAACTTATTCAATAATACAGTCAAAAGTCTTTAATCCGGACTCGTCGGGACTTCGATTCCGGATTATAGATTATCAGTTTAAATCTGGTAAGATGGCATGCAGAAATTATAAAATTAAAAATATGAAACTGTAATTTATGAAATAAAGAACAATTATGATCTAAAGGGTATCAAGATTTACAAAAAAGTGCTTAATATTTGTTTACTTTATTAAACATTTCTTTCAACGCACGCATGCGTAAAGCGTACATTACACATAGTCGAAATTAGAAAATTGCAACCAGAAACTATTTGATGTGTATTCGTGATCTTTATAATGAATTTGATTTAAATCATATCAAAGACAGAGTACAGCGAGATGAAATACTACATTTAGTAATGAACTATAAGCCGAATAATAAAAACATCTGCCCTGAAGATAAGGATACTGCTAACAGATCAACTTCCAGTTCATTGTGCGCCGCGACGTTTCCCTCACCTGCAGAGCAGCATGAAATTGATAAACAGATTTCGGAATGGTTAGAGAAACAAAGGATATGCCTTTATCCATGTTTTGCAGCAATTCCACTTTTAGTTTGATGGACATCGAAACATGCTTTATCTTTGTAGATACTTTGGCAGTATCCAGCAACGGAAATTCTATTTGACATAATCGAAAGTTCAAGCTTACTTTTATGAAATTGCTCTAACAGTCTGCAAAAAATAACAAGCTGGATCCAATTCGAAGATTAAGGAACAACACAATCTGCAACATTAACTGAAACAGATAATTAGATAATTTTAGATTAGCTTATACCGTCCGTTATACATTAAACGTGCAAGCATAAACGTATTATGCGCATGCGTAAAGGTATTACGTGCATGTGTAAATGCATATGCGCGAACGCATTATGCATTGATGCATGCACAGAAAGTTTGTAGCTTTGAGGTCCGGATTATAGATCATTCTGGATTATGTCATCCGGATTAACGACTTTTGACTGTATTCATAATCATTACATGATTAGCATTAAGCATTAAACCTCTACCTTGATTGATGTATAACTCACTAATTGAAATGGATATACTATAAGAAATTATACTTCATCTTTGATGTATTGTCTTACCACTCATAAACTCTTATTTTTCATAAAGTGTCATTCTCAAACACTTTTTGCAGCATTTCAAATTATTCTGTAGCAAATATTCCTTTGAAAATCAAAATTTAATGCATGGTGTTAGCTGAAATAAATTTGTCATTTTAGGTAATTTTTGAAAGCAAAATTTCATTATTTATGAAAAACGCTTACTTGCAAATGATAAAAAGAAATGAAACATATATTGCTGCTAGATTAAGAAATAACTGAAATAATTTTGCAAATGATTTCATACACATGCTTTCTTTAAATGAATCATGCCCAATATTTTTTTATCATATAGTAATTGTGATTAATAGTGACCTCTCACACACATAATTATGCTATTATTCTAAAGAATATAAGGAAAAATGGATATTTCTAGAAGAAGAAAATATAACAATAATAAACAAACATACACAAATATTATAAATAATTAGTAATTAAAGAAAATAAATAAATCTATACAATTACATAACGAGAAAAACAGTGCTTTAAATATTTTCACTGTTTTTCAAAACTTTTTCGTTAAAAACTGTCTTTTGACTAACAATGGGCAGAAGGCACATTCTGAGAAATCCCTCCTTACAATAAATCAGGTTTACTAATTTAAAAGTTAAATATAAGCATTAGCCACTTAACTCAAGAAAATGTGAACTGGCTTCACAGATATCATGATGTGCACAGGCAGATGAAAAGACTCCAAATATTAAATAAGCCCTGCATCTGTTTTTATAATGAAATAGAGGAATGCCTCATTTCAATGAATTAATTTTTAATTCATAAGCTGAGAGTTCCTAAGTAAGGTATAAGCATTAATTCAAATTTTGCCTGCAATATTACATTACTATTGCAACATAACATTAATAGATAATCATTTTGCATTAGATGAAAAAAATTTAAATTAAACTATTTTAAAACTTAAAATTGCTGTAATTTTGCTTTCAAAAAATGAATTCATAATTTTGATGTTCGTCAAATTTATAAAAATAAAATACAATCAAACAGTTGTGCAGACAGGTAATTTAACAGAGCATTCAAACTAATTTTATTTGATTGGGTCATTTATTTAGCTAATAAAACTGATAAATGTTTTAAAATAATATTTTCAACATCTTGCTTTAAGACCCAAATAATTTAATTCTAATTAATATAAAAGTTGGTTTCCTATGCTAATAATTTTCATTCTATGGTTAATGTACTTAAATACTTAAAAAAGCAATGCCTATAAATTTATTCAAAATTTTATTAAATGAATTTGCTAAAAATGAAAAAAAAAAAAAATAAAAAAATAAAAGTATTCTATATATTGTATTGATAAAAGCTAATACTAACTTTCATCAGTTCTTTTTACATTAAAATGGAAAAATTTATGCTAACTAGACAGATATCAAATAAAAAATTTCAATAGAATGAATTATTTTTTTTCATTGTCTTCTGAGAGAAAAATTCATTCCTTTTTCTGAATATGCTTCTTCTTAAAAGCAACACCTATAAATTTATTCAAAATTTTGTTAAATGAATTTGCTAAACATGAAAAGAAATAAAAGTATTCTATATATTGTATCGATAAAAGCTAATCCTAACTTTCATCAGTTCTTTTTACATTAAAATGGAAAAAATTATGCAAACCAGACAGATACCAAATAAAAAATTTCAACAGATTGAACTATTTTTTTCATTGTCTTCTGAGAAAAAAATTCATTCCCTTTTCTGAATATGCTATTTCTTATATTCTGCATTTCTTTCTATCACAGAACTGACAAAAAATGTGTTGTAGAGTCCTACATTTGCCCTTTATGTCCTTGAAAACATGTGACTAGCATCACAAGACATGAACATATGCAAAACTCAAACAATCTGTCAAAAGTTATGTAATTCCTGTTCTAAGACACCATCTGTTATAAAAAGTTGTTAAGTTGCCAATACATTAATTATTTTCTGAACTTTTACTTCTCTGTTTTTATACTGAAAATACTAAAATTGAGAACATTATTTCCTTTGATAGTAGAAAATTCAGCTCATTTAGCTTCAAAAATATTCTGCTGTTCAGTTTTCTTTTTGCAAGTAAAAGGTATATTATTAACTCAATGAGTAACTATTAAAAAAGAAAAAATCTGAACAATCTGAGTAACAAGAATCAAACTTTGACAGTGGACGAAATCAAGTTCGCAAGCACTAATATCTTTTTATTATAAACATGTAATTCCTTTAGAAAAGAACAAACAACAGAAGCATTATTTTCAATGAAAGAATAATAGGATATGACAGAAGATAAATGTGAAATTCAGGTATCCCCCTCCCCTCCAAAAAAGATAAGGTATGATTTGATTTCACAAAATTGTATTTTTTATTGGCCTGGTGACTTTAAACGAACCATACAGGTTAATATTTAATGAATTTTAAAATATTTGCAAAAATAAAATCTTCTTACAAACTCTGCAATGTGATATTTCTTTCAAATTTAAACGCTATGCTCCCTCAGGTTTAACAATACAGGATTTTTATGTTCTTTCACTATTGCATGTAAGAGGTCTAACATAAATCCTAAATAAGTGCACTAACTGTTTAAGATTCATGAATATTTTCTATTTGGAATAAAAATAGCAGAATTTAGTTACATAATCATTATCAGAAAAACAGCAAATTTGCTTCATTTTCATTACACTGAAAATCTTATTATGTAAAACTAAAGAAATGATTGGTTGGTTGGTTTTTTTTAAATGGCACAAAACCTCGAGGGTTATTATGCGCCAGACAAATGGTAAGTAAAATTCAAGATGCCTAAAGAAATGAAACAGTTAAGTTAAGAGGAAAAAATATTTACTAGAGAATTTTTTATGACATGAACTCCAGATTTCTCTATTTCTTCTGTTACAACTTGACTGATCATACTGTCAAATGTGCGAAGTACCTGTATTGAAAACAAATTTTTACCATTATTAAGAATATAATGTATTTAAATATAAAACTACATTTAAATTATTAATGCATAATATTAAAATCCATACTGCTTAAGAGAAAAATTAAAATGACTTTTCTATGCAGTTGAACAATATGATAATCAACATTTTTAGTTCTCCACATATTAATTACTATTTCCATAGAATGGTTTATGTCAAAAGCATTGGAAGTTTAAACATATAAAAGGCAACATTCTTTACACAAAAACTATGACCTAGGTATGCTTTTATTTCTAATTCTTAATTTTGATAACTTCTTGGCGACTCATGCTCGGATATGGGGGTGAATGGTACCAAGCAGTAGGGCTATCAGTACAATGAAGTAATGAGTTGCTGTTCAAAGCTAATTTACTAAAATGACTTCTTGAAAGAAGAGTGAAAATACAAGTTATTGCAACAAATTCAACATGAATTTTCATGTTATCATTTTTCTTCACTCCTAGAAATAGCAGTACTTATGTATTAGCGCAATCTCCTTTGTGGAAGTTCGCAAATTTTCAAAACATGCCAAACCTTGGCAACCATGCAAATAAAAATTCTTTAGTTTTAGCAATGTTGCCATTTCCATATGTGTTATTTTTTATGTATTCCAAGTTTCAATGATTTTTATGAATAAATTGTGATATTTTGGTCTTGCACACAATTTTAAAATTTGTTCTAGTAACATTTTCCCATACTGGAAAAAACTGCAGTAAGATTTCTACAAGAATACAGTACTTTGCTGCAGAATTGTTAAAATGTTAAATAAATGTTAAAATGTTTTGAATCTACTCTTAAAGTGATTGCCATGGAATTTTCACCAAAACAAAAGAAACAGAAATCTGCTTGTTTATAAGTTTATAGATTAATTTTAAGGATAAATACCAAATTAAAATGTAAACACACTCTGCTTAATGTATACATGTAATATTTTCTTATTTAACAAATAATTATATTTATTGTCCGAGAGCCGAGAGGTTTTTGTTAGAATTAGTTTTTTTTTTTCGTTATCCGAATATTGTTCGTTGTCCGAACACAAAAATCTTTCCTGAAAGTGTTTGTTGTCCAATTTGTTCGCTGTCTGAACTGTTCGTCAACCAATCACCCACTGTAATCATCAATAGCAGCCACACATGGAGCAAGCTCCATTGGTACAAACACAAACCAATTCAAATTATTGTCTGGTACGGTATCAAGGATCTCGAGCAGCTAGAACATCTCATGTATATCCAGCAGTTTAAAAAATAGGATATTGGTCAAAATTCAAAGTTAAATGCGATTAATTTTATAGCATTGCTCTAAAAGCTTCAATAGATACTTACATAGGTCTAATATAAACAATTATTTAATTTCAGCATTGTTTATCAAAAACTTTTTTTCTGTTTGCTGCCAGTTTCTTACTTTGTCAATAAAATTAGCCTTTTTTCCTAGTCTTACATTTTTAATTCACATATTTATTTTTCTTAATTTTATCTTACTGTGAAATACATTTTGAGAGCTAATGCTATTAACAGAGGTTTTTTCTCGCTTGCTGTTGATAAAGTTTTCTGTTTCTACAACTACAAATTTCTGTGTACATATATATATTAAAAAAAGGGGGAAGAAAAAAAAGAAACTTAATAACTTTGCAATTATAATTTTTTCTACATTTACTGATTACAGAATTGTCAGAAGTCTTCACACGTTCATCTTAAAAATTACTTTATCTTCTATTAATAAATTAGAAGTTCAAGCTTGCAGGGTTTCCCTTATTTTGCATAACAAATTATTTTAAGTTTGATACCTTTCCTGAACTCCTCAACTTCCCTTTGCATTGCCTTGCTAGGATGTAAATTTAAAATTAAGTAAAGTGAGGATTTAAACGGATGAATCTCTAAGTTTATTCAGAGCGTGTTTTTGCTAGCCAGAGCACATTTCATTGCTATCCTGCTGTTACAGTAATATGCCCTTTGGCCATATTGGATTATCATCATACCTGTTAGGTTTTGTTGAGTCAACCTAAGTTAGACGTAACTTAACGTGCTAACCGAGCACTATACTATTTTAGATTTGAGCTGACTTATATTCTATGTTTAAGTTCTGGCACAAGTGGCCGGTGTTATTTGTAAATCATGAAGTCCGTGCCTTTCTGTTCTGAGTTGAATTAATAAAGGGTTATTTTCACCCTTCTTCTGTGCTGGTATTTCATTTATGACTGTGCGAGAATTGGCTAGATTCATTGTAGGATCTAATTTAGTTTATGTGGAATAGAAGAGACAGTCTTACAACAGATTTAAATTTTTAGAGAAATTGTAATATCTCTTACTGATGGATTTATACAAACATTCATAAAACCAAGAAGAGCTTCCAAATTTTACATTAAACTTTTCACTACGAAAATGCCCAGTAAGACTTTTCAAACAAAATATTGGGAAACGACTTAGCCAGTCATTTGCAAGGAGAACATACTTCCTCCCTTATCAAATAAACATTACAGAATGGTCAATCTGTGGTATTCAGCCTGTTTCTTATCCAGTATCCTTGATATGAAGCCATATCAATGTATTTTATTCCCAAGCAAAGATGCTGGAAAAGTTATCAGCCAAAGGGAATGCAGAATTTATCTTTTCATATTCTAAGATATTAGGTAAAATTCTTTTTGAAGTGACAAAAATAATGTCATTTGAAAGCTTTAGATTCTTTTGTTGGGCTATTTAAAAGTAGGCTTGTAGCAATTTCAAATGAAATTGGATACCATATCATACTTTGATTTTACATCCAGTCAAAAGGTTAAGTGATTGAATGATAAAATAATACAAATTCTGTATAAGAAAAGAAAATTAATAAATCTCCTGCTATTAATTCCTTAACACTCTTTTAAATTTTAGCTCTGTTGACAAGATCCCCAAACTGCTTTGTTTGATGGATTAGACTTCCTTAAACTTCTAAAAATCTATCAATTTTAGTTAAGATTTTTAATTTTAACCCCTTTTTCTACAACTCTTAAAATTAATATGTAAAATCAAATTTTATGTTTTATTTTCTTTCCCTTGATTTTAGTCCAGGTGGTATCACATGCTCATTTGCTTTGCAGTTAAAGAAGTCATCAAAGCAATGCACAGTATTTTCTGGTATTTGAGGAAGACAGCTTTGTGTCATGTACTTTTAAAATACAATGCCTTAAATTTCCATTATTATTCAATATAATACCCTACCTGTTCACCTCTAATTGCAAGATAAACATCAGAACCAAACGCTTTCAATATGCCACAAAGCTCAACTGCAATATAACCAGCACCAACAATCATAATAGACCTATTGCAAAATTCAACAAAATAAATATTAAGAAAATGTATTTATAACTATTTTCATAGTTCATAGCAATTGGAGTTTTCTAAACTAAAAAGAAATATAGAATATGTATGCCATTAGTTGCACAAGACACACAGGACTGATGTTTGAGGATTAAAAAAGCTGAACAATATTTGATGTAAAATTGAAAAAAAATCTATTTAGTAAATTTTTAAATAACTAAAACAAATATTTCTTGTTTTTACATGGTGTGCTTATTTTTTCAAGGACCATAACTACTAATTAACTCTCTGAATGCCATGATCCAGTGATAAGATTTTTTGTGAGTTGGTATGCATTCAGACTATAATTCAAAATATTTAACTTTCTTTCTTTAATAATGTCATCTTAATGAATGGAAGTTTATGAAAACAGTGATTAAAATACATAATTACAAAACTTTAGATAATAGAAACTGTCTAAATACAGGTCTTCATTAGCAGATCCTTAAAGCTGTACAACTTAAAGATTTAACAGAGTATGAGGTAAGGGATGGAAGGAGGGGAAAAAAAAAAAAAAAAAAAAAAAAAAATTTAACATTTTGTGAAATAGAGAGTTCTTGGAAAAAGAAATAACATTAATAATAAAAAGGATATTATGTGTAAAGATTTAAGTCAGCTGAGAAATTCAAAGATTATCAAAGTTTTGCTTATGAAATTCTAAGTAAATATATTATTAAAATAAAATTCTTTGCATTTAAGTGACTGATAAAGACAAAACTAATGGTTTGTCTTGTGGGGAAAAAATTTATGGATAAAAAGGAATGCCAAAATGCAGCAAACTAAGAGCAATCAATGACTAAAAGGTAATAGTGCATATTTTAAACTAAGAAAACGCATTCGATATGTTTCATACAGCTTTAGAGAGATATTAGTACAGCTAAAGATATAGTAGTATAGAGATTACTCCAGCTTTCAAAGAGATACAGTACAGAGCTTAGTACAGCTTTTAAAAAAGATATAGATCAATAAAAAAGTTTTAGAAAAGAGATCGAAAATTTTTTTAAGAAAAGACCAGACTGTAAAAGATTTGGCGGATCAAGTAGCAAACATGAAGATATGAATCGGTAAGTTTCTCATAGAGGGGGGGGGGAGGATTTTTATATTGAAGTGATACCTTTACATATTTATACACACTTTACTAAATATATATGCAAGATAAAAAATATGTAGACCAAAATTATAATTTAAACTAATGATAAAACTTTAATTCTCCCTCTGTTTTCTAAAAATCATAACAACTTCTCTGGATTGCATCATTTTTAGATCATTCCATTTTACATGGTCTGTGCAGCTTTGATGACATAATAAGTTTTGGTTTGAGTTAAACTTTTTAACTCAAACCAAAACTTTTCTCTTCGAGTGCTTCCACATTGCATAACTAAGCACTTCAGCTCCACTCTGCAAGGATGTAATTTCACTGTCTTGCTTGCTATCGGAATAATATCAAAAGTGTAAATGTTCTGTGAATAGGCACGACTAGAGTGCCAAGGGATTGTGGCTACGAAGGTCAACTGGAAAATAAAAATGGAATTATAACTGCCTCGATAAATAAATTATATATATAATTTATTTACTAAAGAAATATTTATTATATTATCTCCTAATACAAATTTAGTAGAAGTTACTCTCTTCATCAAAAAAGAGGGAACTCATATGTAGGAAGTTTAATTCCAAAAATTGTGTTTTAAAATAACTTGAATGACGTAAATTATGTAAAAAAACTTTTTATGCGGACTTGAATTTAAATCATGAATAACAAAATTTCTAACTTTGAAAAAGAAATTAAAAATTAAAAGCAAGTAATTATTGCTACTGATCGGAAATTAGTTTACTTTTCAAGGGGAATAAACCAACTCCCGTTCAATGTACAATAATTAATAAATGAGGTGTTTTGTCTTTTACTCAAGCAAGAATGATGATGCCAAACTAGCAAATTAAAGTTAAGCCAATATTGTAGTTCTGTGAAGTGATGGGATTTATAACCAAAGTAGAGTGCTACAGAACTCATTCTGAATGAAGCATTTTCGCTAATTCAAGATTCTTTATAAATTTTGAGTGTAAAGCATTTTATGTAATAAAATTTATAAAATACTTGAGTAAATGTCCCCCGACACCTTCGCTTTTATGCATGTTAATTCAAGAGAATTTGTATAAAAATTGTACGTATTTGTATTAAAAAAAAAAACACACAATTTTCGGAATTAAACTTCCTACATATGGGTTCCCTCTTTTTTGATACTTCTACTAAATTTGCATTAGGAGATAATATAATCAATATTTATTCAGTAAATAAATTATTATTATCTTACTTTGCAGCTATTGCGCAAATATTAGAAAAACTTGTTTTCAAACTAAGTGAATTTTAGATCATTCAACATTATATATATATATATATAGATAATAAAAATTCTGAAAGCTTTCAGATTTTATATTACACCTGGAGGGGGATTTTTTTTAAACGTTTTGTACATTACCTTTATTTAGTAAATATCATGTTCTTTGCATTTAAACCATAAAATTCAATTCAACAGATAATACTGCAAAATAATTTTTAAAAAGCATATCTTTAGAATTTTGGATACACTGTCTCGCACGCTGGTGATAAAAATGTTTCCCCCCCCCATACAGTGTTGCCATTACTCACTTTGAAATCATTAAGCTTGTTAATTAATTTTTTTTAAGTTTTACAAAATATGAAAGAGATAATAAAACAATTTAGGCTTCCAGATGCCCATCTTCGAGTGGAGGACTACATTGTTCAAAATTCGATGGATACTGTTGTTTTTTCTCAGTGCAAAAATCATACATACATTCATGCAGATTCTTCTTTATTTATTTTCTTTAAATATAATGCAGGGCTATAATATTTGGCAGCAACCATTCGAAAAGTGAAACGTAGTTTATAGTGAACCAATGCAAAATACCAAAACAAAATTAATAGCCCTTCTGGGCAAATTGTTCTTTGGCCTAATAAATAAATAAATAAACATATGAAAGCTTTCAGATTTTACATTACACCCAGAAGGGCTCCCCCCTTTTTTAAAATTTTTTGCATTACTTTTATTTATTAAATATTATGTTCTTCGCACTTAAACTATAAAATTCAATTCAACAGCAGTATTGTAAAATAATTTTAAAATGAGCATATCTTTAGAATTTCCAATACACAGTCTCGTGCGCTGGAGATAAAAAATGTTTCCCCCCACACAGTGTTGCCATTGCTCGCTTTGAAATCATTGATTTTCTTATAAAAACTCATAAATTTGCTTTACAAAATATGAAATAGATAATAAAACAAATTCCAAATTTGGGTTTCCAGATGCCCATATTCGAAGGATGATTACGTTATTCAAAACTGGATGGTTCTACGTACCGTTGTTTTATCACAATGCGAGAAACATATATACATTTATGCAGATTTTTCATTATTTAATTTCTTTAAATATAACACACAGCAATAATATTTGGTGGCAACAGTTTGAAAAGTGAATCAACGCAAAATGCCAATACAAAATTAATAGCCCTTCTGAGCTAACACTCCTTTGGGCTAATAAATAAAAGATTTACATTTGCATATTAAAAAACATTATTATTAAATAGAATAAAATTTCGAATGCGAAAAATGTAACTGTTTTTGAGATAACACATCATCATACAAAGTTCGAAATGAGTACTTACTACTAGTAAAGTTGTTTTCAAATTGTCATCTGTTAATAATGATATGAATTGGGATTTTATGTACTTCCTTTTGGAAAATGCCTTTTTGTATTGGCAAGTACTCCCAGATATGGATATCCATCCTTGTGCATATGATTTTAATTGAGCATATTTATCTACTGAAAGATAAAACTGAGTTAGATCCTTTTCTTTAAACACCATTTTTAACATATCATCATTTTGGAAATCAATCACTTGAAAGTCTGATGGGACGGATGCTCCTCAATTATACAGTCAAATGGATTTTGCAACATAGAAATTTCTTTTGTACTTTCATCAAGATCCAAAAAAATGTTGTTTTAACTGTAGTATAAGTTCAGAAAATATATCTTCCACGAATTTTTTGGGGAATAGGGATTTTGCTAATATTTGAAATTTTTTTTTCAGCGTGGAAACTGTCAAACTTGTTTAATGTTATTTGCATTTAAAACAATGCAAATTTTCTGTGATATATCTTTATAATAGATTACATTTCACATATGAGTACTATTTTTCCCCTGTAATTTTAAATTGACCTTGTTGAGATATCCCATGATGTCTGAGGTAAGTGCTTATTTCTGTAGCCATTCGCTATTTGATAATAAAAGTTGTGGGTAATTTTTCTCATTTGAAAAAATATGATTATGATTTATCTCAGTTCAAAGAATGTCAACAGAACTTTTCCATTGTTCAGCTTTTGAACAGCTGTATGATAAGGCAAGAAACGATATTCAGCTTCAATCTCTAATAAAAATTACCGAAACTGGTGATGGTTAAGTCCACGAGAATGAATGAAGAGCTACTGATACAACTGATTCAGTAACACATGAGAGACTGAGCTGTTGCCTATAAAGAGCTTGTTGGTGAATAATACAATGAATTATCTGAGGTTTTAAATATTTAGCATCTTCACAAACCTTAGAAATTTGTCCAACTAATCCTTTCCCCCTTCCAAACATATTTTTCCACCATCAGTTGTGATACATTTTAACTTATTGCAAATTGTACTGTGTTAGCCTTTTTTCGAATTCCTTGAAGATATAATTAAGACACAATAACACGCCGAATAAATACTAATTCAGAAGTCAAACAACAAAAATCAGTGTTATACCTACAAAATTTTCAGCTGCAAAACCGCATTTGCGGTTTTGCAGCTGAAGATGATGGTTCGGTAAAACCATCGAAACTAGTCCTGTGAAAATTTTGTAGGTATAACACTGATTTTTGTTGTTTGACTTCTGAATTAGTCCTTGAAGATATCTTCACTTGTAGTTGTTTGACTCAGACTATTCAGAGAAGCTAATTCTTCAATCACCTCAAATTCAGCACTGATCCTTCGAATGAACACCAGCATTTGGGCAGTATTAGTAATATCTGTCAACTCATCAAAAGCCAATGAAACCAATTTCAAATTTTTTTGTCTTATCTTTTGATTGTCTTATCTCTTGATGTGGCTCACAATGTCCTCAAGTCTTCCTTAACAGTTGTTCTAACTGAAAGAATGATAGATCAAAACATATCTATTTTTTTTCGGTGCAAATTTCTTCAGCTGCCACAAGTAAACATGATTTAATTAATTCATCATAGATAAATGGCTTTTCTTTCATAAGCTATTCTTAAGCTGACTTGTTAATACTTCGATATCATTTTTTATTTTTATGAATAAACTGAGTTGGGATGATGCATTCTGTTTTAAATTTTCCAATTTTAATGACTGTTCATTTTCTGTAAGGTTTGAATACTGTGTCAAGTCCATAGCCTGGTAATGATGATGCATTTTGTACAGATATTAAGCCATTGCATATTAATTATAAAACTTTGCCATTTAGTTCTATGACATAATAATTGACAATCTCTTCTGCTTGGAAAGCACAATATTCGAGGTCTGCTTTTCTCCTCTTATTTGATTTTAAGCCTGATATGGTAACGGTAGGTAATGAACAAAGTAAAATGAAAAGAACAAAATATTACAGAGTACCCTGACAGACAATAACATTCATACCACTACAGCAAAACTATCATATGTTTGGGCAGCACACAGTGCACAAGTATTCAATTGTTGGGATGTGCCTTTAAAAACAATGACACACAAAAGGATATGTCAGCAAAACCTTTTGCGGTCATTAGTCACAACTTTTCAACTCAACTATTGTGCATTGTGTAACAGCATGGAGTTTGATTATTTTTCATGTAAAAAACAATATTGTCCTATGGGCCATATTTTTGCCAACATCTGGTTTAGAACAATCATATAAAAGGAAACAACAAGTTTGTTAAACTATCTCTGTTAACTGAAACAAATCTGATAAATTTTAAGCCTCAACCATTTTCTGGAGTTGATATGTTCAGTGTGGCATTCTGGACCTTATTTTATGAGCTTCAACTTGAAGTTACCAGCCATCATCTATTCCTAATGAAACAACTTTAACTATGGACAGGAAGAAGTAGATACATATGTTAAACCCTAGATGGTGTACCATGTTTGCCTGGGCAGCCAATGCAGGTTCAAAAGCATGCTAGTCTACAAATTTACCCACCTCCAGAAGGAAAATTACCATGCGATGCAGATGTTTTAAATGCAATATCTTGCCTAAATGTACAAAAATTTTAACTATTATTAATGCAGTATAAGAAAAAAACATAATTATTCTAAAAAAAGCTGTTATTTTCATAAAGCAGAACAGAAATCAGCTTTATCTTTCATGGCTGAAAATAACTGCGGTCAATAAAAAATCAGAGCTTAAATTCTAATGCTTTGATATACAGTTTCTTTTCATATGACATATAGTAATAACATAAAAAAAAAAAAAAAAAAAAAAAAAAAAAAAAAAAAAACCACAATGTGTTTCTAAGGGAACTGGCACAGAAAGCTGAAGTTATGTGAGTTGGAAAGAAACATTGAAATTAAACATTATATATCAAAGAATATTTTATCTGGTTGTAACAAAAGTTACCAGCCTAAAAATGCTCTTAAAGTTAACTAACACTAACATTTTGTTTTCCAGCCTAACCACATGTGTCTGCATTCACTGGCTGGACTGTGTACGGACTGGACTGGGATCTTTTGCCAGACCCACCATATTGCCCCGACATTGCTTCTTCGGGCTTCTACTTTTTTCACTTAGAGTTTTAAGTTAGAGGGAAAAAAAAAAAAAAACATGAAAGCTGTACCTTTAGTATGGGTAATAATCACTACCCAAATCTTTAATTTTTCTGGCAAAGTTTTGGTAGTTTTTCAAAGCCTTTGGCTTGAAAGCTTGGCGGTTGCGAGTCCGAAAGAGATCAATTTCATTTTGTACATCCTGTGCAGAATGGAAGAAAGCACCAGGAAGATGTAGTTGCAGGTGTGAAAAAAGTAGAAGCCCGAAGAAGCAATGTCGGGGCAATATGGTGGGTCTGGCAAAAGATCCCAGTCCAGTCCGTACACAGTCCAGCCAGCGAATGCAGACACATGTGGTCAAACTTCTTATGATTATGTTGTGAAGTTATCCATTATTTAAGGTAAGTTTTACAGTTTGGTGGCCATGTATTTATGTTAATAATATTGCAAATCGTACAGGGTGTCCCACTCACAAGGAGCTCAGGAAAAATTTGATAAAAATCTTATAACAAAAGGAAATTAAACCAAATTTTTAAATGACATACCTTTATGTTTGAGAAATGAAAGTGCAGTATGAGAGGTGCTGAAAATAATCTTCACCCACCTGTACACACAGTTAAACATGGCACTGCATGTTCGTGTATTTTGCTGACAGAGTATTGGGTGTCTCTGCCTAGATTTCATGGGGGATGTTCTGATGCAACTTGCCAATGGTGCATGGTTTGTGCTTGTATGCATTACCTTTTACGGTGGCAAAAGGCGGTCAAGTCATGAAAAATTATTCTACCACAGTCATATTCACTATACAGACATGTGGCATGCTGCCCCACCTTGCTTGTACCAGCCAAGTGTCAACTCCTCATCATTCATCTGGTTCACAAATTCATGAAACAGTGCCTAGTACACTTCACTGGTGACAGTAGTGTAGAAAAAATTGGCCCGATGATGCCCCACTATGATAATGCACTGAATACACCCACCTTATACAAAACACGAGGCTCCTTGATGACTGTATGCTGGTTGTCACTATCCATAAATGCGTGTTTTGTTAGTTCATGTATCCTGACAAGTGCAGCCATGCTTCATTACTACACTATGTTTACTTTGGCTGCAATAAACACAAAAATGTAGCGCTGTGTCGAACTGTGTGTACATGTGAAGGGAAGTCATTTCAACACCTCTTGTAATATACTTTCATTTTTCAGATATAAAGGCATGTCAAACTAAAATTTTGTTTCATTTCCTCTTGTTATAAGATTTTTATCACACTTTTCGTGCAGCCCTTTTCGAGTAGGACACCCAGTATAATAACATTACAAATCTCTTATTTATTAAATTTATTTCTAAAATTCTTAAATATTCCAGTTACTTGAGTTTTCTGGTTAGTATGCCAGATGATTATGTTCTCAGATAACCAGCTTATATATTATGTTCTTCAATATTACGTTCCTAGATAACCAGCTTTTACTGTATTTAAGTTTGCTGATAAAGAAAGCATATGTGGAGAGGTTAACTGCTAGGAGCGCTTTGTAAAGGAAATTTCCATGCATTTGTTTTACACATAGGAAAGTCATGAACATAACCCGGCTTTTCTGCTAAGAATGAAACTTTAGAAAAAATAATTATCATTTTATAATTTTTAATCACTAATCATTCAGTGGGCCATCTCAATCATTAAAATATTTCAAAAAATGCTAAGCAGAATAACGTATTTTATAAATACCCTTAAAATTTAAAATAAATATTTGACTAACCTTGGAATCCTTTCCAACTGAAAAAAACCATCACTTGTGATACCTAGTTCCGCACCTAAAATAAAACCTGTAATGCACTGAAATATCTTTATACAGCAACATAAAACTAAATATAAGAAATTTCAATTTTTTTAAGAAAGAAGAAGAAAAAAGAATTAAGATTTAGAGTTAAGATTTTTTTAAATATCTTTCGACAGCCTTCAGAAATATTTCATTAGTAGTTTTATTTATTCACAACAGAATTTTGAGTTCTCTTACACTCAGACTTTTAGATATGGTAGACTAAATTTTACTTTTTTTATGCTTGCAGTTATTTTTTGATATAAAATAATTTATCTAATTTATTTACATCAAAATAAGTAAACTGAATTAATACATTATACTAAATTTAAAATTACCATAAATATGGATAATTTCTATGTTTTTTATTTGTAGTTGTTTTTCAATACTAATTACCTGTAAGTATATTACATTTAAATTATGATATTTATTAATGACAAAGACATTTATCTACCTCTCCATAGTTCTTTAAATGTATCCTATTAAACACACATTAATTTTTCTATGTGAAATATTTTTATTTTACTTTTGATAAAGCAATCAGGTACAAGTGAACACAAGTTAATAGTTTCAGTTTGAAAAATGATATGTGTATGTGGCAATGAAATAACAACAAGGGAGAGGGACAAAGAATATTAACATTAATTACCATTCTCTTTGCCTGTTCACATTCTAACATGTATGTCTGATATAAAACAATCAAGCTGATAATTATTTCTATTTTATTTTTAAACCAAGTTTAAATAACTCACTGCCACATTTTTTTTGGAAGAGGAAATTGCTTCTGACATAACAATTCTATTAATATCAATGAAAAATATGATGATGAAATGAAAATAGCTTAATTTTATTTTGGATATTCAGCATTATTTAAATACATCCAGCCCAAAGTCCAAAATCTGGAATGATGACTAACAGATAAAATTTTTTTATTTTTAAGAAATATTTTTTCCATGTGCATTTCATATTTTTTCATGATAAAATATGAGTTCTGCTTTGGAATTTTACTTCGGAACTGAATAAAATACCTCCATATTGAAGAAACAGTCATTTATTAGCATAAATCTGTATGATCAATAATTTGGTCCATAGTTGTCTTTTTGCTTGACATACATCTCAAACTGAAACATCATTGATTTTACACTGACTTGAATAATTTATATCCTGGTGAATCATTATTTATTATTTTTTGCTTTCATCACAGCATGGCTATTAACACATGAGAGCTTGAGAAATAACACATGCAGAAATGTCTAAATAATTTATTTTTAAAAAATGTTAGTAACTGAATTACACCAAAGAGTATGGTAACTTTTTATACTGACATTATGCTTTGCAATGATTACAGACTTCAGCCAACTGCATTTCAAAATGCTGAGTATGTTGACAAGGAGAAATTTCTTTTCATACGTAAAAAATTGATTTTGCAAACGATACTCGTAGGCCAAAATATTAAATTTTATGCTGTATGAATTGAGAATACCTGATTTTTTTATTCAAATAAGCAGAGGACTGGCACTAGAGTTAATGCAACTGCAAAGAGTGGCAGAATTTAGGGGAGGCAAAATGTTTAGAATTTAGAGAAGCACTGAGCAAAAAAATCATGGGATGGCAAAAGTTTTAGAATTTAAGGAGGAACTTGGCAGCAGAATTTAGGAAATGCACAGACTGCACCAAGCTGCAAAATGTTTAGTGCCAGTTTTGGATAAGCCTTAAATATATGAGGGAATTGACTTATTCAGGACTCAGATAAGCCTGTGCAGGAAATAAGCATAAGTGTAATAAATAACTAATGTATTTCAGGCTTAACTTCATCAATGTGCGATAGAAGCATGACAAAATTTAGCAGACATAGTCTTTAATAGTTAGTCTCACGATACATTGTCAATAGTGTATGGTGGACAATAACTAAGCTTTATGATGATAGCCATGAATTTGAAGGTTTTGAGATATCATAAGCAAAAAGTAAATGGAATGTTTGAATATGGAAAAGTCATAATAAATGAGGATGATGTAATATAAGTTTTCCATTAGAATGACAATAGCCCAATTATCAATCAACTAATAGACAGCAAAATAAATCTGTAGTATGATTCTAAATCCATATAATATCACTACCAACAGTGAAGAAAGTTAGGTATCAGGGGTTCTTGGGGGGAAGGTCAAGTGCCTGTGTGCAGGTTTTCTGTGCATCCTATATAATTTTAAATACATAATTTATTAATTTATTTTGGATTCTAGACAAAAAAAAGGCCTTTTTTTACTGCCTTTTCAACAAAAAGTCATCAAATAAAATGTATTTGTCCTTACATAAATAATTTTCCCTTTACAGAATACCAATTAAATTTGGCATTCTTAAATTTTGCCACCTGCATGTGGAGCATTTGTTACATACTCGCTAGGAATGAGCCTGACAGAGAGATAGCATAGAAGAAAATATTTTGACTGACATTAGTGTTAATTCTCGATACAGCAATAATAGAATTTGAAGAATGGAACTTTGTAACTAAATAAGAAATGATATCTATTTAGAATTAAACAGAAAGTATTAGCACAGAAGACAAAACAACTTACATTAAAAGAAATTTTTAATAAAGCAAATTTCTAAATATTGAATTTTTTTGGGTAAATTTTAACCCCCTCAATGACAAAAATGCTTCATTATTTCATAAACCATCATTTCATATTTTTAATTATAATTTCTACATATCATCTTACTTAAACTGATATTCTAATATCCAGAAAAATCCCAAATCTGGAATTGGTGAAGTCCTGAAGAGTCTGGTCCTCAGACTTTTTAACTGTACTTAAATAAAGTTAACATAAGACCTGTTTCATAAAAAGACAGAAATATTTATATTAATCTTGATATTATATTTCATAAAATCTGGTGAAGTTTTTAATACATTAAACTCTTTTTCTGGCTCATATTTTAACAACTCCAACTACTTTTTATTATGCTACATTGGCAATTAAAAATATTTCTACATATTTTTTTCACATATTTAAATAAAAATTAAGCCACCCAGTCAGTATACTGACTAGTGCTGCTGACTGCTATACTGTTGGGCTCAAATTCAAATCCTGAAGAAGGCTTGGATATTTGTTCAGGATCCTGAGGAAAGCTTGGATGTTTGATAAGGACGGGGACACTTAAAATACTGGCAAGCCTAAAGTCCTCTTGAGAAATTTGATGGCAGGGAAAGAGAGCTTGGAAATACTTAAATCCAAATCTGACGATGTTCTCTGGGATGAAAATTCTCCCTTCTGATAGGTCTAAACTTAGTCACCTCCCGTGGTGTCCCTTATGCAACATTTTTTATGATGAGATGGTTAAATGACCAATAAATATGGCCTTTTCTAATGAATGCTGAACTAAGTATCCACACATTCAGAGAAGATAAAAATGAATAATTTTTATATTAATTTTTATCTTCTCTGAATGTGTGGATGCTGAACATGTACCTGCTTAAGCCTTTTGCTCACTTTCTGCATTTCAAATAAAATACTAATATGCATATGCAATACTTAAAAAATATTTAGTAATTCAGATCTCACCTGGAAGGTTTGGTAGAAGAGGATAACCACCAGTGGCAATTACAATATGTTCTGCAGAATATTTATTATCATTAACTTCAAGTATACTTTTTGAAACAAATTTTCCTTCACCTTTGATTATTTCTACACCGCTCTGAAAAAAGAGAAAATGAATAGTATATTTCAAAAATTTTACACATTTGAATCTTACTTTATAATACAATAATATCTCATTTGAGAAAATATGAAAGATAATTTACGCTTTCAACCAATAAATTTTGAAGCAGTAATTTTCCTCAAGGGTTGATGAAAACGAATTGTAGAAGAAAATAATCATGAAGAAAATACTTTGACAGCTGTAAATACACATTAAAATTCAAAGAATATCACATTAGCTAATTTATTTTTTGCAATTTATATGAAGATCATAGTCATAAAAACTTTATTGATTTATATCAATATTAAACATTATTCTAATTCATTACATAAATCATAAGAAGTTGATAGATTTTTATCATGCATATTGGCAAGTTTTTCAATTTTATTCTAAATTTTCTTTGAATGATGGTGTTAATTAGGCAAGATTATAGTTTAATTAAATCTGTCTAAACCTTGACTAATTAAATGCCATTATTCGACAAGATTTTCAAGTAATTAAGACACAATAACACGCCGAATAAATACTAATTCAGAAGTCAAACAACAAAAATCAGCGTTAATTCACAAAATTTTCACAGGACTAGTTTCGATGGTTTACCGAACCATATTTCAGCGCAAAACGCAATGAACAAGATAGGAAATATGATTGAAAGAAGAAGCCTGACAGAATAGCAAGGGCGCATATTTGCGAAACCCAACTAAAACATAATTCTCTAAAAGCCGAAGGCAATTTGATTGGCTTAGGATCGTAACTAGAACAGAAAGATTTTTGAATTGAAATGCTATAGAAACCAGTTCTCCAATGGAAGATGTTTTTTGAATAATTTTGGCAGCAGAAAAATTGAAAGTGGATTTTCGGCCAACAATGTTGAGTACAGAAGATTCTGTGTTTCTTTTTCAAATGCTCAGTTCGTGCCGTGAATTTTAGGCTCTATAGTTAGACCAATGTAAATAACCACACTGCAGGAATCTATAAATACCCCCGGATTCATACGGAATGGGTCCTTGAGTATAGGAGTTGGATTTTATGATGGAGAATAAAACAACCCGAAATGTAAATCGCAAAATATGTGCAACTTATAGCTAATTGATGAAAGAAGGGAATGACAACAGAATTTTTAATCCAAAATAGAGGTGTCTTTTAGTGTGTTGAGTGACAATTTTTTAACTGCTTGATTAATAATGTTGGGTGAAAAGCCCCTGTCAATAGCATGCTTTAAAAATTTAGTTCTTCATCAAGGTAGTTTGGAGGAGCAAATGAGAGCACGGAAAACGTTTTCCGCTTAGCGTTAACCGTCCGTATACATTAAACGTGCATGCATAAAACATGTGCATGCGTAAAGTATTGTGCGCATGCGTAAACGCATTATGGTTACGCATGTGCAGAAAGTTTGTAGCTTTGAGGTCCGGATTAAAGATCATTCCGGATTAAAGACTTTTGACTGTACTTGTAAAATTTGAAGATACTCACTTCATTCAATTTTTGCTTTGGAATTGAATAGCACAGAGTTTCTATTAATTTCATATGTAACTGGGCTGACACTTACTCAAGATGACATTCAGTTCACTTTTGAACTTGAGACTTGCAATTCTCTTCCGTTTGACATTCTGGTCACACGTAACACATCCAACTTCAGTACTACGGTTTACTGTAAACCTTCATCGGTTTGCCTTCCCCACACTTTAAATTAGTCATCCGACTAAAACAAAGTTAGCGTCATTTATTCTATTTTCTGTGCTCTTCAAGTTTGCTCTCCAAACTAGCCCTTGATGAAAACTAATTTTAAAGCAATAGCTATTGATAGGGCTTTCCACCAACATTATTAATCAAGCAGTTAAAATTCTCAATCTCAAACACTAAAAGGCACACTTTGTTTAGGAGATTATAAAAATTCTGTTGTATTCCCTTCTTTCCATCAATTAGATAAAGTTGCACATATTTTGCAGAAATTTAACTTTCGGGTTGTTATTCTCCCATCAATAAATTCCGAGTTCCATACTCAAGGACCCCATTCCGGATAGAATTCCTGGGGTATTTATAGGATTCCTTGCCAGGTGGTTAATTTAATGGTCAAACTAGAGAGCCTTAAAATTTCGCGTCAAAGAACATGAGGCATATGTTAGAAAAAAGGAAAACACAGAAGTCTTCTGTTGCTCAACATGTTGGTCCGAAAATCACACTTTCAATTTTTCTGCTGCCAAAATATTCAAAAAACATCTTCCATGGAGAACTGGATTTCTAGAGGCATTTCACATTCATAAAATCTTTCTGTTCTAGTTAATGATCCTAATTCCAATCCAAATTTGCCTTCGGCTTTAGAGAATTATGTTTTAGTTCTGGTTCGCCAACAGATGGCGCCACTTGCTTTTCTGTCCAGGCTTTCTTATCTTATCTAATCATTATTTCCATCTTGTTCATTGCGGTTTGCAGCTGAAGATGATGGTTCGGTAAAACCATCGAAACTAGTCCTGTGAAAATTTTGTGAATTAACGCTGATTTTTGTTGTTTGACTTCTGAATTAAGATTTTCAAGTTCAAGAAAGAAAATAAAGGTTATATAGCTACTGCTTATGACATTTTTATGAGGCATATAGCAGTTACACTGCTGAAATTAAGCTTTCTTGAACAAAAAAGTTCTGTTACATTAATGTATGATAAAGTAACAGAATTAAAAACAATTGAAAGTTAATTTTCAAAGAAGAAAGAAAACATTTACTTTTAAAAAACAATTTTAATGTCAATAATTTTATTAGATCTGTCTAACAGATAAATGCAAAAATAAGAACAAATTACTTCAGTTCAAGTTATATGAACCAGTTTTTTTTTTCAAACTATTTAATTTAAAAACAGTTAAACTTTGTCGAAAAAAAATCATTTTTAAATCAAAAGTGACATCTATTAAGCATGATTTGCAACACATTAACACTCCAACTTACTCTATCCCAACTTATGTGAACTTGAAATTAGCAGATTCCTTATTTTGCCCTTCCCTTTGCCCCACTACTTGTTATGCAGACCATTTCATATGCATTTGTGCATATCATTGTTGTACTTGCAATGGCAGGTAGGTATTTCATATGAAGTGCAGGCATAATTTCAACTTGTACATTTTCCACCAGAAGAGAAATACCCCAAATGAAACATTAATAGAGCTGTTTCAGTTTCTTCAAAATACTTTAACTGCAAATGAACCAATTTCTGATTTGAGACTAACACAAAAAAATTATCATTTGCTTGGTCTTGCAACTAAGTATGTGCACCAACAGCTAAGCAGCAATATCACTGAACACTGGTTGTTTGACTCAGGTTTAAATCCTAGAGAAAGGGCTGTCTGAGCAGAAGTTTTATAATTTTCTTCATGATGCACTGATTTTAAAAAAAAAATTATCTCTTGTCAAACTGGCACCCCTAATTCTTTTTCTCTTTGAAAAAAATTTAGGACTGTTTTGTGTTATCTTTATTATCATGTTTAAAAATAACCATTCGTTTAAACAAAATAATACTGATATTTTTAGATCAAAAACAAATAGGAAAATGTTTACACTGGAATATAAACTGAATGAAAATTTGTGAATTAGCCCTTTCCGGCACGCTACCTTTTAAAGTCGGAGTTTTGACTTAAAAAAGAAAAAAAAAAAAAAAAAAAAAAAGGTAGGCATTCTAATTAGGCCTAGAGGAATACACAAGTAAAATTTTGTGAAGATAGCACTTATCATTTTAATTCTGTGGGTGTGCCCAGTGACACACTGATTGAATAGAGCTTCGAAAAGAGTGCTGAAATGAGTATTGTTGTCAATGAACTGACCGATGAGATGCATAGAAACAAAGAATACAGAATCTCAGTTATCCTAGATTATCGGTGAGCCCCGTCTGGGCACACCTAGGGTTCGCTGTTTGATTTTAGGCAAGATTTCAAGGTAAAAATTTAAAACTATTATAGAATAAGGAGATCAGCATACAGCCAAAAAAATAACATAGAAATTTCTTTTCAAACAATTCCTTTTATACACTAAAAAAATCTGGAAGATTTCTTTGAAAAATGAGGGTCTTAAAAAACTAAACATGGTTAAAATATATGGACTGGTTTGTGTTGAGCTGCCATGTACTATAAATAAAGAAGGTTCAGAGTAACCTATAAATCCTTTTTCATTCAATTTTTCTGTGCATACAGAAGGAAATTTTTAGGTGTGTCCAACCGGACACACTGTGCTGCAAAGGGTTAACAAAAAAATAGTGACTCTAGAATACACAGCAAAAACAATCTTGATAAAGAAAGAATTCTTGCATCTCTGAAAAATGCCTAGTCTTAGAACTCAAGCACAGTTCATAAGCATCACAATTACAGCACAGATGGAAACAATACTGAAATTGTGATGTGACAATCAAGTAACAGTTGTCCAGTCAACTGGAACACTGCATGTTATCAAGTTCAGCCAATTTTTGAGACTGAAAGAAGCAGGTGAACAGGTGGCCAAAGATGAAAATTTTGCAGCTATTAATGGATGGTTGAAATGATTTAAAACTCATTATAATTGGCAAAGCAGCATGAAACCAGAGAATGACAAGTGCAAATTAAATTGTATATCTTTTTTCTCGAAGAGACATGATAGCAGAAGGCTATGACAAGAGAAGGTGGTTACAACAACCAGATTACATTTAACATAAACAAGACAAACTTCTTTTGGTAGAGGACGTTTAAAATAGCTTCCATTTTGTATAAATAACTTCTGGAACTTCTATATAAATACCTTAAAATAACGTTTGGAAGAAGATGATTAAAAAATTCTATTTGGGGGAGGGAAAAAAAAACTTTCCAAGCTTTAAGGTTTTCAGAGATTTGGGTGATAGTAGTGGCTGGTGTGAATGCTGCTGGCTATTGCAAATTGAAATTTCTTTTAATTTATCACTCCACAAGTTGAAAATCTACAAGTTTTAGAAAATAAGCCTAAAACTGTCTTGTAAATGACTTCAAAATAAAATTTTAAAACTTGGGTG